AAATTGCAGCATATAAATAAAGCACTGGATTTATACCTACACTAGAGTCATCTATTACATAAGTACCGTCGAGACATTAAGCGAGTTTTACCTCCCTCCCTCCCGAACGTCACTAATCTTCATTTTAAAAAAAAACATGATCCAACACCTAAAATGACGTCACACCTCAGCCTACCATAACTCCCAAAAATGTAATTTAAAAAAAAAAACACCCCTTTTAAAAAAAAAACATTATTGAGCATGGTCAGCGTTGAGTAGGCCGCGATTGGTTTTCATCTGAAGTTTTTAAGAAAATTAACTACGTGAAGCAACGCCTTATTTCGGTTTCTAACATCATTGCAGTGTGTCGTCACACTTTCTGAAATCCTCCCCCCCCCCCCACCCGAACGAAATGGAATTTATATTGAAAATATATACTTTTAATTTTAACAATGTCCGACCCCCCTCCCCCCCCCCCCCCCGGAGAAAACAGTCTAGAAGAAACACTGCTCCGGAGTGTGGCGTCATTTATAAATTAAATAAAATTACATTACTTTGGAAAGCGAGCGATTAAGTAAACAGTAAAAGAAGCAATGTCCATGAACCTGAGGGTGGCCTTACAACTTATTAAAGTAATAAATTCTAATATTAATCATTAAATTAAAATACATTCAAAGAGTACAGAAAATGATACTGTGTTTCAAGATTACATTTACAAGTACAGAGTGAGAGAATAATATTGTGTTAGCACACTCCCGCCTCCCAAAACGGTTTAATACTTCGCATGCCGTTTTTTTTTAATCTGTAAGGGAGGAAACCCTTGAAATTTTTTTCTAAATTTACACTTTGACGTTTAAAACAAAAACCTACTAATTTTTCTCTCCACAGGATACGTTTAAATAAACATTATCGAAATAATAAAGCCGTGTATAAGTAAATAGGCACACAATACATGCTACTGAAATAGTAAATTGGTAGTAAGTTTTGAGAGATCTATTAATTTTTTGTGGACGTTCACATTGGGGGGGGGGGGGGGCAAAGGTGAACACGTGTGGACGGGGCAGTAGCGTAGCGAGGGGGGGGCGGGGGGGGACATATGTCCCCGGGCGCGAGCTTAGGGGGCGCCAAAATGGGTTGGAAAAATAAATTGAAAGGTTGAGGGGGTGCAAATTGAAAATTTGAGGGGGGGGGGTGCAAATCAAAATCTCGAGGGGGGTGCAAATCGAAAGTTTGAGGGGGGGGGGTGCAAATAAAAAAATCGAGGGGGGTGCAAATCGAAAGTTTGAGGGGGTGCAAATCGAAATCTCGAGGGGGGGGGTGCAAATCGAAAAGTTTGTCCCCGGGCGCCGGGAAGGGTCGCTACGCCTCTGGGACGGGGGGGGGGGAGGGAGTCTAAAATCCGAATTTTTTGTGGACGTCACAAATGGATGACCCCTAAATCCTTCGGCGACGGCCCAGGTGTCAGTGGAGTCACGGGGCTCTTGTGAGCTACAGGTTACATTATGCACCGGTGATTGGTGCAACCCCTGGTTAGATTTAGTCATGAATGTAGTAGAGAGACTTACCGTGTGTGTGAACTTTTAAACGACTGTAGGGGCCAAACTGTTCATATGTGATGCGCTCAGGACGACACTGCCGCGGTGAATTCAAGTAGTAACCCTATCTCCTATGCAGTACACACAATAAGTGGATCCCAGGTGCAAAGATAGCCACTGAGGATCTCGGCATTCTCGGGGCGCTAAATTACATATTTCCGTGGGGCGTCGCCACTCAATATGTAAACAAACGTAAGGCCGATGGCAGGGCTGTATCAACAGCTTCCCAACTTTTTCATCGCGATCGAATGAATGATGTAGCAATGTACAAAAGACAGAAACATGTTTTTCACATGCACAACTGTATTTGGCCAGGTCATGCGTCGGATAACCTTCTGATTTAGGGGGGGGGGGGGGCATCCACAAATGACGTCTCGTTTTTTAACGACTTACAAAAAGCAGACCCTCACACCTCACCCCCCCCCCCATGCGTCGTTTATGAACAGTAATTGTCAATTGACTAGTAATAATGTTGATTTAATTCTAAACGTGCTCATTAATTTCTAAATAATGATATAAAAATAATCTTACCTTCCCTGTTTTCTGAATTAGGTGCTCCTAATATTATGCAAGTAAATGAATATCTGCTGACTAGTGCTGTCTAGTGTCTGAAAAATTGTGCTGATGTATGAATGTACGGTTAGGAAGTAGTTCATAAACGATACAATTTATCTATTCAATGGGTTCCCAAACTGAGGGTCGCGAACTCGTATTCTAAACCCTTGCATTGAAAAAAAAACCATAAATATTTAGAAGATCTGAAATTTGGCTTTACTAACATCACTGGAAATTGAATAAAGAAGAAACAATACCCACTTTGCAAAGTTTTTCTCAGTCATGAGTCTATGAAACCCCCAAAACTAAAACGTCATTTTGAGACGAGTCATTTGGAACACCAAAAAATATGTGTCTCTCGTCGGCATAAAGCTAGTTGCAAACGCCAGAGACTTAATCGAACAGGAAGTTTTCACCAGGAAACACTGCATTAGTGCAAGCATCATATGAAGTCGTATTAGAAATTGCCAAGTAAAAAAACCTCTCACACAATAGGAGAAAATCTCATCAAACCCTGCATGTTGAAGATGGTGAAATTCATTCTTGGAGATTCCAGTGCAGTAAAGATACAACAAATATCTGTCTAATAATAACGGGTTATAGCAGACTTACAAGATACATTCTTGGATTCGTGGAATGATTCCGCGTCACGTAAAGTATTTAATGGAAACCTGCTCACACAATTTTGGTATAGTATGCAGCATTCATATTCAAACGTGAAATGTATTGCCTTATGAGTTTTAGTTCCTTGTGTGTCTACATATCTTTGCGAGGATAGAGTTTCAACACTTCTCCAATTAAAAACAAAACAAACAAATAAATTAAATGTTGAGAATGACATGAGGTTGGCGTTCACAAAAACTCAACCGCAAATGTTGTAATATCACTCATCGTATTAAAACAATTATCAGGGATAATTCATATTGAAAGTCTACTCGAAAATCTTATTTTAGTGCTTATTAATTTCCTTACTAATTTCGACTTGTTATTTCTATGGGGGTCGCATGTCACTTACTTTTTCTAAAAGGGGGTCGCCACTCAAAAAAGTTTGGGAACCACTGATCTATTCGATACTTGCGATGCTAAGAAAGAGGGGTGGGATTGTGGTCGGATTGGAAAAATCTTGAAAGAGACACCAAAGCGCCTATGTACGTCACCATCACCCATTATAAAACTTACTCAGGGGAGATAATTCAAAGTATATGCCATAAAAGTTTACTATGACATTTCTTGTAAAAGCAAACACAAGTAAACGTATATAAAGCCGTAGTTTCTAGTATAATACTAGGCATGCTGCCCAGCTTCGCTTAGGCTTTCGAAAACATTGAGAATTTGAATGCTTAATTAATTCGCCCGAGAGTCGGTCTACGACCTAGGGAGTTATGAAGAGGTTCCTACGTGGACATTTTTTTCGATTTATAGCTGCTCATATAAGGCGCCGGTCAGTCGAGGTCAGTTTTTACCCCCTAATCGTAGACTTTTCGGCCTACCGGCCCCCGTGTTCTGTCGACCCAAGGCAAGATCCTGCCAAATTTGAAGCGCCTGCGGCGCCGGGAAGTGCCCTGTCGGGCACCCGACAACTTTGCTTTATATATTATAGAGATTAGCAAACAGTAGCGAGGGGGGGTGGGGGGGGGGGGGGGGGGGGGGGTGGGGGACATATGTCCCCGGGCGCCGACCTTAGGGGGCGCCAAAATGGGTTGGAAAAAAATCTACCGCCGCCCGCCCCCCCCCCCCCCCCCCGAAAGAGATGGATTTTATATAGGAAACATACACTTTTACTAGTGTCCGCCCTCCCCCCCCCCCCCGAAAAACGTTGACCGCCCCCCCCCCCCCCGAAAATATCAAGTGCCCCCCCCCCGCCCCCCCGGAGAAAAAAAGTGGAAGAAACACTGGTGAGTAGTTGTAAAACTTAACAATTACGGAGGGGGGGGGGGGGGGAAATGGGGTAGACCAATTGGTGGGGGGGGGGGAGGTTACGATGGGAAAGGGAGGTAAGTAAAGTTCTCTTTCGAACCTTACGTTATATGGGGCAGGTGAAGTAGAGTACACATGTTTCAGTGTCTTCGGCATTTTAAGTGATAGTAATGGTCAACTCATGTCCAGCCACCTTTACTTTCCATGTCGTGAGTCAGGTACTCTTATCAGAGCTGGGTGGACGTGCGACGGACTTTCGGATTGGCAGTCGAAGGCTCTACCATAAATACCATTCTACCACGCCACCATCCCATAAAGGCATGAAGTTAGTTTCTTAAATTTATTTATATAGGGGCCTTGACTTTGTGACCTAATCAAAATGATAGACCTAAGTTGAAGTACGAAAAATTTAAAGTAAATTATCTTTACAAAACGTCAACTTAGAAGCGTTATTTCTACCTGGCTTTCTTTAGGTCTTCGCCAGAATAGAATAATAAGGATACTAATTTAAAATGTTTACTGTGAGTAGGCTATATTATTACTAGATCTAGATTCTAGAATTTTGATAGATCTAGATCTACATAATACTACATACTCATACTACATAGTACATATCTAAATCTATGACTACTGTTAACTGTTACTTTACGTTGAAAGTTTGCTCTTGTATGCCAGAAGCAAATTCATTTAATTGCTATATTTCTTTTCCATGAGATCTTTAATGGATTATACTCATAAAGTGATAAAGTTCTATAATATTATAGATCTAAATCATAGTAATTTAACGATGACGTGGTGTTAAAATCTCCGTAGATTTTTGTTGATTTTGGAAAAACCCGAAAAAATAAAAATACTCCTACGTCAGATCACGTGACTGAGCTGAACTTTGGACTTTGGACTAGACCTTACTTTTTTAGTTGTTTACGCATTCAGATTGACATATTTTAGGTAGGCCTAAGTTGTCATCACCATTTCGTCATTCAACTAGATAACTGCTCAGTTAATCTATAAATATAACTTCCTATTCGTACGAACGGCACTCATTTCCGTGTTGCTATTAACAAGACATCGTCTGTTGTAGGCTAGAGTTTAATTTTAACAGACGAAGAAGACTTAAAGGTCACAAAAGTTTACTGTGCTGTAAGTATAGAAAAATAAAATAAAAATAGTTTAAAATAATAGGCCTAGCTCAGCTAGCTAGAATATTCTAGAAGTAGATCTAAATCTATAGAATATAGAATCTAGCCGCTAGCCCGTAGATTATGATTAGATTTGTATTGATTTTGTTGGCCTAATCCTAAAATATTCTTAGATATTATAATCAATAAGAGTGAATAATCTTATAATTATATAATGTTAGGCCTAGTCTAGATCTATGTAAATACTAATGTAGGTAAAATCTTAGTTTAGCGTCGTAAATTCGGCCAAAACTAGTAATGTGGGAGAGAGTGAACTAATGAATATGTCATTAAATATAAGTATATTTTCGTATATTTTGATAAAATATTATAGATAATTGAATAATAGATCACCATTTATGATTAAATCAATTTAAATATCCTGAAATTAATTTTTATCAACCCTGTTCGAGATAGTAAATCTGCTATTAAAAACAGCAGCCATCTTGAGAAAATGTTATTTAGAGTAGCTTCCCTTTCATTTCTATTCGTATGAAAATGTATTTAGCCTAAATATGATTGTCTTGTTGTATAGTATAGTCCGTATTACAAAGCATTTTTTTATTTAAATTCTGCCCTTTAAAAAACTGAATTTCCTAACAAACAACTTTATTAATTCTAGAAGCATTGTGAGATGCAACTTGTATCCATGTATTAAATCACGTTTTTTTTAACTAATGTTTATTTGATCTTACTATTACTATATAGTTTGAGTTTTTTCTTATTGTTTGAATGACTATTTTCATTTCAGGTTTTTCTTTTCATCAATTAGTGATTACATCGTAGCTTATGACATTTTTTACTTCTCTTTACCTTAATTTAACCCCAACCTCCGTCATATTTTTGTTGTCAATGTCACAACAAGCAGAGGCGTAGCGACCCTTCCCGGCGCCTGGGGACAAACTTTTCGATTTGCACCCCCCTCAAGATTTTGATTTGCACCCCCCCTCAAACTTTCGATTTTGCACCACCCCCCCCCCCCCCCTCAAGATTTCGATTTGCAACCCCCTCAAACTTTCAATTTGCACCCCCCTAAGCCTTTCAATTTATTTTTCCAACCCATTTTGGCGCCCCTTAAGGTCGGCGCCCGGGGACATATGTCCCTCCCCCCCGCCCCCCTCGCTACGCTACTGACAACAAGTCATAATGTAAAAAATTACGCTTCACTCTGCCTTATCTAAGATCTTTAACCATAATTTTGACAACATTAAATGTTTGTCATCATTTATATATATACAGAGAGACAAAATGTATTATCCATCAGCTTCCCTAGTAAAACATCTAAAACAATGAACCAGTTCACCCCTTAAGTGCGTGTTGCCATTATGGTCGATCGCAAGTCTCCACCTGTCAGACACATTTTGGTTATCCTTTGTTGTCAAATTGTCAATATCAAGTACCCAAGTGAGTGATATGGGGTTGTCCATAAATGATGTCACATATGATTTGCTACGGGAGTGAGTAAAGATTTGTGACGTCAACTCAAGCGGCTCCGCAATTTATGACGTGTCGGTCTCATGAAAGGAGGCGAACGGGGAAAATACCTAGGTCATTGACAGAGAACCTCTATAATGCTTTGTTCAATCAAAATAACGATAAATAAGCATTAGTATACGTATACCTTGCTCATCAAAAATGTTGCAAGCCTGATAGTTTAAGACATTTTGCAAAACGGCCTCAACACATTCTCCATGTCAAAAAGGCTTGCCACCAAATGCCTGCCGACGAAGAAGCCGCGTCTAATGCGGGGCGTTAGGAATACGGCCATTAGCATGGGCCGCGTTAGAGCAACAGTAGGCTATCGCGCTTTGTAAGATGATACTTAAATTCAATTTCGCTAAACTGCGCGAAAATTTAGTAATGTTCCGTCGTTTGAGGAAATTTATTTTCTTGGACTTAAATTGAAATATCATGTTGACTGTCTGGCTCTTAATTTCCAAATATCACTTTTAATGTATCAAGATTCAGAACTATAATTTACTTTAATATAAGTGTCATCGTTTATTGTGCTTTTTATAAAGCGCAGAGCAGCTTCAAAATCGGACGGCCATCCTGTTTTCACCAAGCTTCTTTTGGAGCTTAATATGGGTAGTCTAGTTCTATACGTTGAGAGCTTAATACATTTTTAAAGGGCCGAAAGTCTCAAGACAGCAGAAATAATCATGTACGTTTAAATGGACGAGTGATAGATGTGTTAGGGGCTGTTTAATGAACACCAACTTATGTAATCAAATTAAACGTCGCATAAGCGTCAAAACGGCAGTGCTTGTTTGTATTTTTCTATAAAATTAGCCTAACGGTCGGCGGTACCGGTACATGACGTCACGCGCGAGCGTTAACTCGGGTGACGATGTGCTAAGTGGGGGAATGAAAAGGTGGGGTTCAAGAAATGCGACTCAGCATGCTTTTTACATTTCTTGACCCTTCTTAATAGTTCTATCGTCCCCACTGAGAAAATGGATCACCAATGAATGACGCGTCATACTTCTACAGCTAGTCTTTCTCCCACAACCATCCCCTGTTTTCACTAAAAAAAAAAAACCTGACCTGTCTCCAAAATCATATCGCTGAGTTCTACTCAACCTCTCCCCACAACAAATCACAATTTCTATCTGAAACAATATGTTCATATGTTTGCTCTGTAATAATGCACGCTGTCATTACTATCTTAAGAGCGACGTCATTTATGAGCGATCTAATATTGATTTGCAAATAAAGTGTTCAAAAGTTCGACCTCCCAACAATTGTTGTGGTCTTGGATGCACACTATTAAGTCTGATAAGGTTTATTAGTCATTCATGTCAACTATATTTTTTTAAAAAAATTACTATACAGGGGGTCATCCATAAATGATGTCACGCTTTTTTTGACGATTTTTACCTCCCCCCTCCCCTCCGCCACACGTTGTCACAAAAAGCCAGACCCCCCCCCCCCTAAAATGACGTCACACCTTAGCCTACAACCCCCCCCCCCTCAAAATTGCAGTTGAATTGTTTTTAAACAGCTATATTTTTTCAAAATCTTGTCTGAACTCTGTCAAAACTGTTTTAATACATTATAATAACAATTGATTAATTGTTATTATAATGTATTAAAACAGTTTTTTAAAACGCAAAATAACGTCTAAAATTCGTTTTCTAACATTACTTTTTTAAAATGCAAAAGTGTGACGTCGCACCATCTGAACCCCCCCCCCCCCTCCCCACACAACGTCACAAAATTACGGACCCCCCTCCCCCCTACGAGTGTGACGTCATTTATGGACGACCCCCGGCATATATTAAAACAATACAAAACAGTCATATTAAACCACAAAATCAACACAAAAGACATGCGAATAGACAATTTATTGTTTTTAAAACATGGCCGCTGCTTGTATTTACTCATTGTTGTCTCGAACGGGGTAGTTTAAAGTTTATTCCAGGATATTTATGACTGGTTTGGTCTTGGATTGTGATTTGTTATTCAATTATCTGTTATATTATGTAAAATATGACATAAATATGGCCAAATGAATGAAATATTCATTAGTTACCTTCATCGCACATTACTAGCTACGTTGGAATTTACGACGCTAAACTAAGATTTTACCCTAATGTATAGTCTAGATCTAGATCTATGTGCTGGAAGGTTTTCTATTGCCGAGTTAATAGTCTGTTATAGTGAATAGTGTTATAGATCTAGTAAGTATAGATCTATCTAATCTATCTACTATCTACTACTAGACTAGTACTAGATCTAGATCTATCTGACTAGTATCTAAATCTATAAATTCTATAATCTATATAGATCTAGAAAATTCTAGATATCTAGCTAGACTACTATCTAGATCTAGACAAAGTCTAGGAGTCTAGAGTTATTAATTTACATGAAAAAGTCACAGAAGCAGTTTAAATAATATAGACCCCCCCCCCCTCCCAATTATTCAATATAGTAGAATCTTGAACTATTGATTTCCTTGTTGATTCTTATTTTGAAATGTCAGGATGTTTGTTTTTTCTTCAAATATATTTACAAAGCTAGTTTTTTCCTACTGTGTGAACTGATGAATGTAAAACATATGTTGGCGCTATAGTGCTCATGTGAGGAGTGGGGTGCTATGGATCACATGACCCCCAGAAGAACTCCTCTCCAATGATTTATTAAGTAGTAGATCTACCTCCTACTTACAGTGCATGACACCAAATTTAATCAGCAGAACCCAGGTGCTGAGATGGTTAGGGGGGAACTCAAGCGCTTGCTTCCCTCCCATGTTTCTGACCCCTTATCTATAATCATTGCACAGCTTAAGTCCCTTATGTATATGCTTACACCTTACACATGCTTACCTATCTTTATAAGTTTTACTTTTGTAATGTTTGAAGTTTTGGCAACATTTGAATGAGATAGCACTAAATTTTGTGTTGATAATGACCAGTTGTTTAAAACTTAAAAAAACAACATTTAAGTTAATCCTCTAATTGTCTAATTTACAGCAATTATTTCTCATGTGTCCGTTTTATTATTATATTATGCCTATATAACAACAAAATACTATTTTGATAAATTCAATCTTTAGGTGAAAAATTTCAAAATGCCGAGTGAGGATACATTTTTCACTAAGTTGGGAGAGATACCTGTAATAAATGATGGATGGGTGACTGCCTGGAATTGCTACTCCAAGATGAAAGATTACAATGGGCTTACAAAATATGCTCTTGATGTTGCTGAATCAGGTGTCAAAAAGGCTGCAGAACTTTCAACCCCTGTTGCAAATATCTACCAGTCACAAAGTAAGTTATAGTTATTTACCCTACAGTAATACATTATTAATTCAACAATGTGATGTAAGAACATAAATAAATTACTCAATTTATATTTTTCAGTTGACAGAGTAAACACATATGCTTGCAATAAGTTGGAAGATATTGAGAAAAAATATCCTCTCATCACACGACCAACTGGGGAAGTATGTCTTATTTTACTAATTTAATTTCTTATTTTAAACTGATCAATTTATGGGTTGGGTGATATTTAAGAAGTACTTGAAGTAGTGGTTTTTTTGTTTGTTTTTTGTTAGTACGTTTTGTGTTAATTTCCCAGGTTTCTTTGTGGGAATAGTAAGATTTGAAATCCTGTTTTGTTTTGGGCAATGAACTGAGTAAAATGAGTTTGATGTCTCTTGACTGAAATAAAAAATATTTAAAATTTATTTACAATTGTTATAAGTTTGAAAGTTGCAAATAGAAATAATTGCCAGGTTAAAGAAGCCTGTTTGGAATATGTTCAGCCTGTTGTTGGGAAAGTAAAGCCAGTTGTCACTTACGCTCAGGATGTTGTCACCAACAGTAAGAGAAAGGTAAATCAATTTTTTAATGCTTAGACGAATAGTTTATTCTTTAATTGAACTTAGTTTTACATAATCCATATGTGCAAAAATAAAAATCTATATTGTAAACTTTTTCCTCCTACTTAACGACTTTCCTATTCAGCAAAACATTTTCTAAGTTTGTTTATAAATCTACTACATTTAAATATAATTAATTGTACATTTCAAATTTGTGAAATTTAAATATAAAAAAAAGATGTGATACACTTGTCAGCAGTTCCACAATATGAATTGTTAACACTTTCATTAAAGGTAAACAACATGAAGACCTGCAGCAGGAATTTGATAAATGGGGCTCGGGATTTTAGCGTGAACACAGTGACTCAAGCAGTGAGTGTGACCCTCGACACTCAGCCTGGTCGTTTCGTTACACAAGCTGTTGATACAGCCTTGACCTGTGCTGATGGATTAGTAGAGAAATACATTCCAGAGAAGGAAAATGGTATATTTTGCTTTTTATGTATTTAATACTTTAAAATAATGCTTGAAAAATTTTTTTTAACGCATTACTGGTATCAACTTTGGTTAATATAAATGTTATTTTTTAAAAATGTTTTAAACAACTTAGGAGTAATAGGAGCACCATAAAAAAAAATCTATTGTCTTTCATCTCAATTACAGGTACAGAAGAATCTGATGGAAGCAGAGATAATGATGGGGCCCCTTATGAAATGAATAAGCCTGAGCAAATGGAGTTGATGGCACCAAGTGCTGAGAGAGTTGCTGTCCATTTTAAAGTAGTGAGCAACAAATTAAGAAAAAGAATGTTCCAACGTGCCATGCAAGATTTCCAAGGAGCAAAATTAAAAACACTTGATGCCATTGGAAAACTACATAATACCGTTGATTTGGTAAAATTTGCTGTCATTAATAGTTTGGAATTTTTCTGCATAGACTAGTTAGTCAAAAGGAATTTTTAAATTCTTTTTTTTTGTTTCACATCTTATATTAAAGACCTAGTTCAGTTCTGAATATCAAGATCTTTTAAAATTTTAACTTTGTACACCTGAAATCTAAATGATTTGTTGCTATTGTCAGATTGATTATGCAAAAAAGAATTTCGGAAATGCCAAGAATAAAGTGGAGGATATTTGGAGTAAAATCAATGAAACAACTGATCAATCAGGAGAAAAGTCTGTGGACCCTTTGCAGGCCAAAGTATGCTAATGTAGTTTTAACAATAAAATATTTTATCTGAAACTTACAAAGTATATGTTAGTGATTAGCTCAGTATATTATTGTTGCTTTTCGGTGTTATGCAAAAATTAACTTTACAATGATGGATTATTCTGTTTACAGATATCTCTAATAAAAATTATAATAATTATATGAATTTCCTAAAAATAATTTGCTGCAATTATTTTAATTTGTCAGATACCAGTGCTCTTATTTGTTTCTTGGATATAACTTTCACTTCACCAACTTTTCAGTATAATATCAAATTTGTATCATTAGAGTGATAAACTGTTTATCCATTTTATTAACTTGTACAATGATTATTTAAAATGTTAACATACATCACGTTATTTATTTTACAGAGTGCAGAAGATCATATTGTGATGCTAGGTCGTAGTCTTTTGTCTCGAGTCAAATCAGGCATCACTGCATTAGAGAAAGCATCATCAGAAGCTGGTCAGTTTGTCAAACATCCAATTACCAAGTCCAGGGAATACAAAGACTTCATTTATCACTTCAGTTGTGTGAGTAATTAGTGGTCAATTACAGATGTGTATTTTAAACAGGGGAGTTCCAGAAATAATTTGTTTTAGAAATTTTGACAGGAATTATTAAAACTTAAATGTACATGCAAGTCTTGACATAGTTAGTAACCTATAGTTTCATAACATTATTTTAAATACTGGTTCCTATGTATTTTTTTAATGATTTAATAATTTTTTATAATTTAATGTTTTTATTGCAAGCTAATTCAGTGAAAAACTTTTTTTAGGATGTTTCGAACATGAGTGTCAATAAAGCAAGAGAAAGCCTGATATATTTGCAGAAAAGATTACAGCAATTGATTGAAAATGTGGAATCATCTAATTGGCTGGTATAGTACCTTTGATATCTAGTTTTAAACATACTTCTAAAATAATTCATAAAAATTAAACTACTCTAAATTCTCATAGGCCATGAATATTGATATGGAGAAAATGGATTTGGAAGATGAAGACTTAAGCCCAGGGGAGACAAAGGAGGAGTTAAGTTCAGTTGAGGCAACAGATAACAGTGATACAGAGAATAATTCACCATAACTTGACCCAATCTTTTTTGTAATGCATTTTGTCCAACTATGTGGATAATTACATTATTATGTATGTGCTTGCTCTCTTAGATCTCTAAGCAATTCATATCATCAGACTTTACCAAGTTAGGCTAAAATCTTTTTTTTTTTAAATACAAAAATGTACATTTATTTGTATCAAAAACTATTTTGATTCCTAAATATTTTGAACAACTCACAATTTTTGTTATATTTAATTAACATTTTAATGTATAATTTAAAATGGTGTTCCTTTTTTTAAAAGACTATTTGATTTTTTTCAGTCTTTCTGCACATGAAAATTTTGATTAAAATAGTTCTTTGGATTGATTTCTAAAAAGATTATTGAAACTGTTTTACTTCACATGTATACTGTTTTTCCTTTAAAAGTTCATCTTTGTTAAATCAATTGTTCTTATTCCAGTTTCAATTTTGTTTGTGACATGCATTTTTTTTTAGTAAAGTTCACATAAATATCTGATTGAATTCTGATCATAATTAAAATGTTACTGCAATTTAAAAATAAAGACAAGATGAAAAGTCTTGAGCATTTTTATTAAATGTACAACCATGCATGAAATGAAGAGAGCTCATTTTAATTGTTGCAATTACAATGGTCAGGATGTGAAAATTTGCATACACATATTAAACATTTCCCTATCTATATTACAAATAAGTTGTGAGAACTGAAAGTCCATTTCTATTTGTACATAAGATGTACAGAAGTTTCTCTTCTTGAATGAAGATCTCATCACATTTTTTTTCAAGAAAGTGCTTTCTTTTCATGATTTGCTGAGTACATTTGTCATCCAAATAGCAATTTTAAAATTATAGTTGCTATATTAACACCAATCAAAGGAACTGTAAAGAAACAAAAATATGATAGTGAAAATGATTGTGGTAGTAATTTTTTAAAGCGACCTGATAAAAGGTAAGGTTAAAAGTGAGTTCTGTGTGGCGTTTGCATTAAGTTGGCTATTCTAAATTGTTTTGTTTATCAAATTTACAAACTAAAAGCTGTAAAAGAAAATGGCTAATTTCTATTTTTTAAAACTTACATCTCATCACTGTTCTGATGGATCTGATAAGATTAAGCACTTGAGATTTGACACCAGGACTTTCACCAAACCCTCTGTGCTGGTCCACACCCCAGCCAACTGTAATTTAGAACTTTTCATTAAGTAAGCTATTTTTTAAATGTTAAAAAATATCTTGGTAGCTTTTACTCTCTTGGTGTTGATACTTTTGTGAAACTAGTTCCAAATAGTCCTTTAAAAAAACTGATGTATTACCCTGTTCTAAAAATAGAAAAAGCTTAAAATGATAATACAGAGCAAATGATACTGATTAACTTGTATCATCATACTATTTAAGGTCATTAACAGCGAATGACATAAAGATAAGCTTTAAAAATTCAAGAACATGATCAAAGAATGTAAAGCAAATGTGGGTAAAAAATAACTGAAGGCTAGATCTTATATACAGAATGGACAAAAGACTGGCAAGTGTTCATTAACTAAATGCCAGATCTTATAGAACCAATGGACAAAAGACTAGCTACTGTTCAGAGAAAGAGAACATGAAAATGACTATGCACAAACATAAGTTGAAAGTGGCAGGAGTAAATAAGTCGATACTCAATTTTGGCAAATCCTTTACCTGAAATACTGATGTAAAAAGAACTGTAGTAATGTTTGCGGATAATAATTAACTTCAACTAAAAGATTCTTGGCAGCAGAGGTCTAGTAATATTTCAATTGATGTCTCAGCTACCACATAGCACATAAGGAGTTGGATGTTAGGTCTGAGCTAATAGTGGCCTGGAGTTTTAACATAAATAACACAATTTAATGCAGAGTGCTGACACCATGAATCATGATCTTTCTGTCTTATTTGCTAGGTGATTCCTAAAAAAATGGAAAACTGACTTCGTTCTATGCTTAATCTTTAATGAGAAGTCACCTGTTTTTCACATTACTATTCGCGGGTGATTTTACGTACCTAAAACGATAGATTCCCAATATTATTAATAATATTACATTATTAATAGGCCTAGGCCTATAGAATAGATTCTAATTTAGTAATTTGTAGTTAATATTTTGTATTACTAATTAGATCTAGAATCAGAGTTTCTTCCAGGCATCTCTTCGGGGGTGGGGGGCTTTGTCGTCGTCCCCCCCCCCCCCCCCCCGAAATTTTTTTACCGCCCCCCCCCCCCCCGAACGAAATGAAATTTATATGATTTAGGCCTAGATCTATATAGAAAATATATACTTTTAACAGTGTCCGCCCCCCCCCCCCCCCCCCCCGAAGAAAGTCTACCGCCCCCGCCCCCCCCCCCCCCCCCCCGAAAATTTCAAGTGCCCCTCCGGAGAAAAAAAGTCTGGAAGAAACACTGTCTAGAATAGGGTAAAACCTTAGTTTAGCGTCGGAAATTATCGGGTAATGTTTGTTGAGTTTCGGTAACTAGAGTTACCGTAAACCATGGTTTATTTGACCATTGAAATATAAATAAATTGAAAGTCGATTTTCGTAAATTAATGTTTTAATTTTTTAAAGTTTAATTGACAAAAGGAAACAAGAATAAATATAATAGTAGATTTAAATTAGTAGATCTAAAAATAAAAAAAAACATATATTAGGCCTAATATAAATATATTAAATATAAATAATGAAGTCAAATGTTACAATGTAATAATTTAATGTTTTTTGCTTGCAGCGGATTTGCGACCATTAATTAATTAGATCTAGATCTAGATCTAGCTCGATATGTAGCTGCTAGGCCAAGTAAAAAAATCTAGATTACGAAAATAGTAAAAATGATTACAAAAATAAATCTATCCAAATTTTAAACATTCTGTATAAAAATAAAAGATGACGCCAAATAAAGTATGGTTTACAGTACTTCCGGTGAATTCCGGAAGTGTGTGACAGACTTTGGCATTGTTTTACTGTTTTTTACTGCTATACGATTCCGGAATAATAACCGACGCTAAACTAAGGTTTTACCTAGAATAGAATCTAGATTTCCTAGATAGATTCTAGATCTAGATCGATTAAATTAAAAAGTTATAAAAACTTACTTTTTGCTAAAAACCGCTCTTCATGTAAAATGCATATGGCATTTAAGCAAAGTATTGCAGATTCAATCAAGGAATACAGTCCAAATGCCATTTTCAGATTTTGAGCTGAATTTTTGTGTACTCAATAAAAGAGTCAATATTTACTAGGGGCAGCTAACTAGATCTAGATCTAAATATACTAATATAGATCTAGATCAAGCTCTAATCTCAAGTCTATATAGATCTAGGTCTATGTTAACACTAGTCTAGATTCTAGATCTAGTCTAGCTATCAAACTAATTCAGTAATTCTAGTTCTACGTGGAAAAAGTTACAATCTACTTCAAACACTTAAAAAGCGAATCTGCGAAAATGTAACGGAAAAATAGCCTAAAAGTGGCCAGAAACTTTTTTTTATTTCATGAGTATTAAGCGGCACACTGACAGATCCACTGCCAGTCTGACCCCTTCATCAATACTCTTGAGAGTTAACTTAGCCAACACTCTTAAATAATACAACGTATTCATCTCTTGTTCGGCAGGCGTTATTTTTTTTTTTATTTTATCTAGTATAAGGAATAGTATGTTTTAAATTTAATTTTAAGGGCCATCTAATTTTGCTATTTCAGTCACAACGCCTGCTTCCACCCCTCACCATGTCTAATCTAACTATGACTTCCACAAATGAGTCGGTTGTGGGCTGCTCCAACTCAGTATGTGGGGAGAGAGGTGCACGCTGTGTGCAGTATGCTCAAAACAAAATGTCGTTATCATGTGAATTATCATGTATGCTTATCATTGTATATCATACATTTAAACTTCTGTGCTAGCTTTTAAGGAACAGATCTTCACTGTTGTAAATTTAACATTATCAAAATTTTAAAATTGGTGGAATTTATAGCTGTTAAGGGCTGGATTTGTTTGTGAATTGTTGTTCGTTCTTGTTAAAAGTATATATTTTCTATATAAATTCCAATTCGTTCGGGTAAGGGGGGGAGTAGACTTTCTTCGCGCCCACCCCCAAGAGATGCCTGGAAGAAACTCTGATTCAGGCATTTAAAAGAGGTAATAATTGTAGTGGAGGTAGGAAAAAAAATTACTTTAATGCCAATATATAAATCTAGTGGTCATACGATTCATTTGTCTGGAGCTAATTCGACGGGAGTTATTTTGTCGCGAGCCTATTTGTCGGGAGCCATTATGTCGGGAGCCCATTAGTCGGAAACATATTATGTCGCGAGTCGATATGACGTCACGGGAGCCCATTTGACGGGAGCCAATATGTCGGGACCTTTTGACGGGGCTATTTGACTGGGTTGTTTTGTCGGGGGATCGATTTGTCGGGGTCATATTGACGGGGACGTTTGGACGGGATCGTTTTGTCCCGGACCGTTTTGACGGTGCACCCAACATCAGTGTTTCTTCCAGACTTTTTTCTCCGGGGGAGGGGGGGCACTTGAAATTTTCGGGGGGGGGGGGGGTAGACTTTTTTCGGGGGGGGGGGGGGGCGGAAACTATTAAAAGTATATATTTTCTATATAAATTTCATTTCGTTCGGGGGGAGGGGGGCGGTAGACTTTCTTCGGGGGGGGGGGGGGGGCCGAAGAGATGCCTGGAAGAAACTGCCCAAGATGGGCGGCCAGTAGATCTAGATCTAGTATTGGGCGCTCTTACTCTTAAAACGAATTATTCGGAATTATCAAATAAATTCTATGGCATGGTCGGCATGGAAAACGCAGAATGAACGGAAATATTGATTGATGTTAAAAATTAATACAAATGTACAAATGTAAAAAAAAATAGATCTAGACTCTAGACCGTATTAAAAATGTGTTTACCTAGATCTCTAGGCCTAGTAAGCCTAGTTCTATATTATTATCTAGATTTGGAGTCTAGGCTAGATCTAGATTCTATATTTCAATCAATACATGCGCAGTAATGCTTTTCCTGTTTTCGTCTAATGGAGTTTGTTTTACCAACAAAACAAAACCTAAAAAGAATCACCAAGCGAAGAAGCTTACTTTGAAAATTAGAAATAGATCTATTAATGTTATTTGACAAAAGTTGTTCATGCTTCGTTTAAGGAAGAGTGGTAAAGTCCCTCTTTATTTAAATTAAGTCTAATTAGAACTCTTTCGGGCTTTCTTTTTTTGTTTTAGAAAAGTTTACAAATCTACACTTTTAACAGAATAAATCAGAAGACTTGAGAAGACAAACAGAAGAGAATCTCCCTCACTCAATCTAGATCTAGATCTAGATCTAGATTATCCCTAGTCAATCTCCCTCACTCAATGATTCAATCTAGATCTAGTCAATCTAGAAATCTAACTAGATCTAGTCAATCTAGAAATCTAACTAGATCTAATCTAGATCTAGATCTAGGATCTAACTACTAACTAGATCTAGCTCTAGATCTATAATCTATATTCTATAGGCCTACTAAACTTGTCTGTAGACTACACACTACACTGTCTGTGTACACCACACACTGCTGTAGAGTAGACTGAATAAGAATAAGACTCTAGTGAGTCTAGTGAACTAGTCTCTAGTTAATGTTAAGTTATTGTTAAGCCTGATACTACTGATAGTGAATAGTCAATGACTCAATAGTAGTTTTTCTCACTAAATCTAGAATTTACGCAATTATCAATTTAAACATGACCACTGAATAATAGACATCCATATTTAATCCATTAGGCACTAACTTTGGAGTTTTTAGTTCGTTTTGAACTAAATTAGTTAATTTAATATTTATTGTCAATCACTACCATGTCCAACACATCTCTCCATGACAACTGTTCTTAAGCTTGAAGCTAAAGAAAACCACAAATCAGGTTAGACTCCATGCACAAGAGTTCCTCACTAGTGATCACCAAATAGCGGTCACGTGGTTTTTAAAAAATAAAAATAAATTGGTTGTGATACGGACGCCGGTCTTATAAAAAAACAGCTCACAATATTTGATTTCTTTTTTCATAGACTGATAAAACTAATAATGCTTTACGTTCTCGCTCATTTCTGTACCTACACTGTTGATATTTTTTAAATTCTATTAATTTTAATGAAACCAACTTTTGAATTTAGCCTCCGTTCTCCAAACCAAATTTTAAAATGCTTTTCTGGCATATCTAACCCTGCCACTTATGGTTTGTTGTTATGACACGGAAATCCCGCCATTTTGCGCGTGGTAAACATTTTTAAATGTAATTAGTTGAAGGTCTCTGGAATTTGGCCGAAAAATCACCGGAAATCAGACGTCCGGTCCGGGCGCCATATTGTTGTTAGCAACCGACCACGCATCCAAGTTAGAGAGAAATACTACTCAATAGGGCCTAGATTCAGTAGATTGCCCTAGATCTAGACCTTTTAGAGCCTTAGATCTAGATCTATAAATAATAAATACATTTTAATAGGCATGGCATATAGATCTATGATTGAAATCTAATCTAGACTTCTAGATCCATGTTAGGGTAAGTAAAGGCGGTTGGACAAAGTGCTGACTACACCTTCCCTTCATACTCCGAGGTCAAGAAACATAATATGAACTTTACCTCATCTGCCCAATGGAATGCTAGGTCTAAAGAAGAAGCTTTAATGTTTGAACCACGAGAAGGCGTGGCCATGGATAATGGCATTAAATGATAATATTACTTCATCAAAATAATTACAATGTTTATCAAGAGTATTATGTTTTTATTCATGGGGACCAAATAAAACAAACTTAAGTAAAGTAAAAAGTAAAGTTTCCCTTTCAAACCTGACGGTCTATGGGGCAAGTGAAGTAGAGTTCACTTGTTTCTGTGACCTCGGCATATGAAGAGATAGTGTGGTCAGCACTATGCCCAGCCGCCTTTACTTTCCCTAACGTGAGTTAGGTACCCATCTGAGTTGGGTGGACTCAGGGACGGTCTACTGACTTGAACCCGGATTCGAACTCGAGACTTACGGGTTAGCAGTCCAGCTCTCTACCGCTAGACCACTCCGTCCCACAAAACAAACTTAACTAGATCTAATTATGAAACCAGAATGCACAGCTAGGTAGTAGTTAGTAATAGTGCTGCTTATAAAAAATGTATTCCCATTCGCATGTAGTAGAATCTAGTTAGCATTACTATTACAGTATTAAGAATTATCCGAAGGAAATTATTTGAGAGCTACAATTTTTTTTAAAAATGTATTCATATTCAGGCAATATTTTGTAATGTTGGAAAAATTTTACTTGAATTATGGATATGGATGGAACAAGAGAGAAAACTCGAAAATTGGAGGTTTTGATGAAAAATACAGAAGTGGATAAGAAAAAAGCCCTAGAAATATTAACAAGTAAGTCCTGTGGTAATTTTTATAAGTAATCTGTGAATAAATAAGATAAAACTTTTTTAAAAAATTAAAAATAATGATAATTTTAAAATGTTTTATTATTCATTGTTTTAAAAACATTAATTGATAAAATACATTTTTTTTTAGGAAACAGGTGGAACTTAAATGATAGTTATCATGAAATAGAGCGCATGTGTGCGACTACTGGTCAAAGAAACCATGGTTATTATAAGAATGAATTAAATCATCAGAAAAGTGTATCACCACACCATACAGCCATAGATATGGGCTATGGTACTGTTGTAAATTTAGAAAAAAAAATGGCTTCTCATACCTTGAATAGTCCTGCCTATTCATATAATCCAGCTCAGAACAGTGTATTATTAAACCAGAAACCAATAGCTAGTCATCATCATCATCAACAGACTACCTTGCCTGCTAGGTTTCCTACAACTGCACTGACTTCCAGGCAGGAAACTAATATACCTATCAAAATGGATGGAGGTAGACAACAATCATTACCACAGCCTTATTCTGACATGTCTGTGGGGAACTCTTTGAAAGCATCATATGCGACTAATCTTTCTAGTAAACAAGAAACCAATGCAAATGAAACCTATAATCCACCTCAAAGTACTATTCATGAATCTTTGCTTCCGTCCAGAGAATCTTCAATTCATCCTGCAGAGAGTGAATTACCATCTGATGGTAATTATGAAGATGATGATGTTTTTGATGAAAAACCAACAAAAAAACCACCTACAGTCAATACTTGTAAGCCTTATAGTTTTTATTTTATGAGAATTGAGATATAGTTTTATCTTTTACAACTGATATACATTATTATATTACACAAAAATTAAGAGCTTAATCACAGGTGTTGCATGCACAAGGGTTGATAAGATCAATGTCACATTAGACTGAATTTCCACACAAAAAAATCTTTTAGTTTGCTGCCAATTAAAACAAACAAAAAGCAGTTACAAAGCAATCACTGATACTTTATCATATTTATAAGTCTTTTTGATATATAATTACAGGTGATCTTCATAATTTCATGTTTTTTATTTAATAAATTTAGATCCAAGATTAAAAAGAGGATTCTCTAACATTTTGGAAAATGAAGGATTAGTTTCTGAAGCTCGTCATAGTGTACAAATAGATATAATGAAAGACAATGCAAACATGTATACTCAGACATTTATTTTGCCAAATTTGGCAAAATTTAGTGAAGATTTCAGAGCTTTTCTGGGAAAGGAATTGATTGAGACATCAACTCTTGTTTCCTTGGAACAAGCTGGTATGTTAAAAACTTAGTTGTGTTATTAAAAATATGTTTGTGGATCCTTCAAAAGGATGAAGCACAGTGAAACCACTAATTTTGTTTATCATTTGATTAGCAAAAAACGGCAAATTCCAAAACTGAAAAAAAATGAGGCAGTTATTTAACAGTGAATCACAGTCACTCCAATCAGCTCAAGACACTGAAAAGCATATTTTATACTAAAATTATTTATAATGAATAAACCAAGTTTACCATTAATAATACTAAAACAACATCATGTAAAGTACAAATGATTTATATGCTTTTAGTATTGTAATTGGGCTAACAGTTTCAGTTGTCTAATACACTATTAGCCTCATAGCTAGCATGTTTTAATCTCTTCCAAAGATATGCTACATTTTTATCTGACATCATATTGGGTTGTTGCCTTTTGTGACCTCCATTTACTTATTAAATAAATGTGGTGTATAACATTGTTCTACACCACTGAAATAGTATATTCAACAACCTACTGAATTTGTATTATTTATTCATGAACATTTCAAAGTTAGATTGATCATGCATTATTTTTTTTTTAATGTTTATTTTTTGTTTCCTAGGTCGCCTGAATTGGTGGGCTGAACTTCGACTTTGTCAGAGATTGCTACCAATGGCCACAAGTGGAGATGGCAATTGCCTTTTGCATGCAGCCTCCTTAGGTCTGTTAGTCACTTAAGTATTTTGTCATTGTAATTTTTAAATACTTTTGCTATAGTTGTGATCAATCATAGCCTATTGTTATTAGCAAAGAAAATTATAGAAATATATTTTTTTCTGTGCTGTCTGTGTCTAGTTTTGGTTATCATCTATTAGTAAGTTGATACTTTTGTTAATTTTTAAGATTTTAGAATTTATTATGAAACAAAATTATTTAGCTGTGTACTTCCTTTTACTAATTTACCTTTATTGATCAGTTTCTAATGCATAAGTATGGTAATGCATGGTAAGTATTCCTTAACTTAGTAAATTCAGTGTTTTTTTAAATATCCTCTAAACAGCAATGTGGGGCATACATGACAGACAATTAATACTCAGGAAAGAATTACATGAAACCTTAACAAAAGCAACATACAGAAAAGCACTGTATCGTCGTTGGCGTTATCAACAAAAACTTCTTAACAAGCAGGTAACTCCATAGAACATGTGGCATACAGCCCGCTCAATCCCATTGAGTATTCATCAGGCATCATGATGTTGTTATGTAGCCTGCTGTTATAGTGCAGTAAGCTTATTTGAGATGACTTTGATATAAAAATGTCATCTAATTCATTAAATTCACAGTCTGGACTTGTGTTCAGTGAAGCTGAATGGGAGGAAGAGTGGCAAAACATCTTGCGGTTAGCCACACCTCTACCTCGAGGAGTGCCTGATGTAGCAGGCTCAAACAACTCTTGTGATGGTATCAGTATGCAAGGGTAAATCTAAATTTTTACTCAACCTTTAAACTTATGTAACATAGCTTAAATAAGGTGATCAGTCACCCAATGTCAGGCAATATTGCAGGCAGCAGCCTTTTATCAAGTGTCCCTTTTACTGTATCTGTAGTATTAAAAAAAATGCAACCATTATGAATAATTAGGGTGACAAGCTGTTTTGGTTTGAATTTGTTGTGTAAAATTTCTGACATTTTAAATCTGTTTCTGACTTTAGGAGATATGAAGAGCCTGTTGTGTATGAAAGCCTAGAAGAATTCCATGTTTTTGTCTTGGCACATGTACTCAGAAGGCCCATCATTGTAGTAGCTGATGCCATATTAAAGGATTCCAGAGGAGATGCTCTTGCACCTATTCCATTTCCTGGAATTTATTTGCCTTATGAGGTGGACTCTTGTTATAAATCCCCACTTCTTCTCACATATGACGCTGCTCACTTCTCTGCATTATCTCCCATGGAGCAGGATGCTTCAGTCACACCACAGCTTCCAGGTATATTATATATATATATATATCATCATCTTTTCATGTTCAACACACTTGGGGCAGTTCATCTGTTTTGGAGACCCCGGCATATAAAGGAATAGTGTGGTCAGCATTATGCCCAAATGCCTTAATATTCCCTAACGTTAGGTACCTATCAGAGCTGGGTTTACTCAGGGACATTCTGCTGACTTTGAACTTGATACTTTAGTGTTAGTGGTCTTGCTCTTTACCGTCACATATTATATATATACACATATTATATATGTAGGGTCTACAGTTTTAACAATATTTTAAAAATTATAAGCAGTATTTTTATGCTGCTGTATTTATCAAAGAAGGCATAGGAAGTGTTTATAACTGACTACATTTATTAAAAATTTTTTCTTGAAATACTTTTTTTTTGGATAAAAAGAAAGCTACTGGCTTTCCATTTTTTTTCCCCAGCTGCCATTCCATTGGTAGATCCAGAACTACGACTTCTGCCACTACATTTCTATGTAGACCCAGGCCCAAGAGTAGACTGGACAAAAGAGACATTATTGGAGCCTAGCCTGGAAGACAAAATCAATCAGCTCCAAAAGTTTTTGGATGTTGAGAGAATCCCCTTAAAGTTGACAGACATTAATGGTGACAGTGACAGGGGATCTTGTGGTTCACAGGATTCTGATGAAAGTGCTTCAGTGTTTAAGGAGAAGAAGAAAGAGGAAAAAAAGAAAGATGCACGAATGTCCCAGCAAGTACATACTGTTGCTAAACAGTTTGGGAGCATTGGAAAAACAATGGGGAAGAAACTGAAGCAGCTAGGAAAGGTTGGCAGAGGGGACAAGGGCCGTCAGCAATCAAGTGTTGGTAATGAGATCACCCAAAGTACTAGAGTAATGTCCAGCTATGGACATCAACATAATGGCCAAGAAGTGATCTTAGTAGCCAAGCTGCGGCCTGTTCCAGGGAAACAGCATGATGAGATGGTTACCAATTATCTGCAGAATGCAGGTGAGAGGTTCCACTCTGACAGAGAGTTGAAGAGGAGAAATGATGTAGAGATTCGTAGCAAAGTTGCATTATATCCACCTGTAAATTCAACTTTGTGTAGCACCCCAGACTGTAATTTATTTGGTAATCCACAAACAAATTATCTGTGTTCTCAGTGCTATGCTGCACAACACCTTGAAGCAGATTTGATGCGTAAGAAAAATAACCAATTTGTTTACAACACTTTTCCTGGTAGAGGAAAACAGACATTTTCTACACCGATGAACCCTGATGAAATTTTTAGATGCGGAAAATCCAAATTTTATACATCTAGCAATGAAGAAATAGGTCAGCAAATGGCAAACCCAGATGTTTATCCCAACTTTGACAAACAAACAAGCTATTCTAACAATAATACAAATGTTCCCAGATTAAGATCTCCATCTCCTGACTATGATAATGTTTATGATGATTCTGGGACTAAACAACAAATGAGTACCCATGAGAGACAGCGTTGTAGAACAAGTGAATGTGAATTTTATGGGAGCCCTGAATCTGATGGCTTTTGCTCAAAATGTTTTAAGTATAAGAATAGTAAAGATGAAGGTTTTGAAATATATTCTCAAACATCCACAAAGTTATAGAACATCCCTTAAAAAAATTTGGAGAAGGTGTATCTTGTATTGAACTAGACTTATTTGTGCCTATTCTGGCTTCTTGGCCAGATTTTGTGTGCATTTTATGTAGCGTTTAACAGTATAATGTCAATTGGCATAAAGGTTCTTGGGAAAGTAACTTGGTCTGTCTTATTATAGAGTTCTTTGTTGTTCTTTAATGCCTAGCTTATTTATTTTAATGATATTCATGCCTTTGAGTACCATTAGCATTGTTATAAATCATTAAAAGAAAAATGAATAAACATTCAATATCAGTACATTTGTACATAAGGTTAAAAAGATAAGCCTTTATTATTACCTAAATATGTGAAAAGCTTGGTTTGAGAAAAAAAAGTTTTTTTTATTCAACAATTTCTTACGCACTTTTTTTTAAATTGTGTACTTTAGCTTATTAGACTTAGAGAAAAAATATATTATGGGGAAGGATTGGTGTTCAAATAAAGTTGTTTAATAACCATTCTGTTATTATGTTGGGCCTTCAAATCCAAAAATTCACTTGCTTTTCTTTTTTTTTTAAACAATTTTTGTGCGTTTTTCTTAAAGAGTTTTGTTTATTTACATTTTTGATCACCTATATTTAAAGGTATGGGTTTTTTTTTAAACTTTTGATAACATCAGCTTAATGTTACTTGTAGTGAAAACTGTTGTGAAAATTCACTTTCAATATTTTTCGGCCAGTGCATTACACCTCAGTTGTTTTAAAAAGCCAGTTACTTTATTAACAATAATTCTCTAGCTATGTTTAAATTATATTTAAAACTAGAAAAAAATTCTATGCATTGATTAAGAATTATTATTGAATTTATTGTAATGTAGTTACACATATTCATTATAGTTTATCCCCCATCAAACTTTCAAGTTTTGTACTTAAAATCTGTGCACTTACATATGTAAACATTTAATTTATATTTGTATATTATTTATGGTTAGTTTTAGTCATAACTATCTTAGCTTTTTTATCGTAGCAGGTTTATCAGCATCCATTCCTGAATTTTTAAATTTGTAAAAAAAAATTGCTTTTACTCAGTATTGGTTAGCTCGTGCCTTCTTGTTTTGCACAAATTTTTGCTCTGCAAACTGTGAAAGAAATTTTTTTTAACTGTTCTACTGATTGTGTGTTAAGTTTTAAAATATATTTTTTAATCAAACACATGACTTTGGTGTGTTTAAGCCATTTAAAATATACCCCAAGTTTTACATTTTGTAAAACATGACCTACCATTGTCGAATGTGTGAGACCTTTAAAATTCGTGTTGCAATAGGAAAAATTCAGATAGTTTTTTGGAATATGTTGTGAGGCTTATTTTAATGAGCTGGTTACCCTACTAACCAGTGGTCTTGGAGGCTATGTCATATAGGCTGAGATATCCACACAAGGTTCACCGTACTTTAGACACTCACTGATTGCTCTTAAAAACTTACATTAGTTGCATTTTAATTCATCTAATGATTCATTTAATCCTGATAGTTTTGCAATTGTACTATGATAATTTTCCCTTTTTCTCTATGACTAATTAAACTTTAATGCATGTAACTTTAATATGACAAGAGAATACTTTAAACCCTGTGCAGAACAACAAGCCTGATATTATAATGTAAAAATTCCTATCAACTTTATGTTTGTCAATTTTAACTGTGTGCAGTACAAGTGGTTGCTTTACATATTCATTTTTATTGTTAAGAATAAAAGCTGCCATTGAAGACAATTTATGCAGAATGATCTAGTTTAGCATAATGTTTTAGGCCATCTTTAACTTTTTAAAATTATAATTTTCCACAAATTAACTGCTTTAAGTTACATTCACGTTGTATACATTTTAACCTGAATATCCATGCTTAATTAAAGTTTTAGGTTGTCTAGGTTAAAAACTTTCTTTTAATAATTAAAACTGTATATATGTAAATTATTTATTATTGGGTGGAGATATATATATAAGTAGTTTTAACTTACTGTGATTTGCAGCTAATTTAGCCATATTTTTATTTTACAGGTATAGTTATATTTGTATATACCACCTTTAACTAAGTCTTTAAATATTGCTTTTTTTCAAAGAGTTTTATAATCCTGCAATTTGTTTTGCCTGTACATTTTTTAAGCTCCAAATCTAATGGTGACTAGGATTTCATATCTACAGAGAAAAAACTAGTACATTTAAGTTTCTCCTCATAAAGGACACATTTCAGTAAAGTGCAGCTTTGAATCATTCGTCTCTGTCTTCCATTGCTAAATTTTTTCTATTGCTTGTCATCAAAGTAAGTCTCATTCTTGTGTTTTTTTTTTTAAATAAAAAGGACTGCTTGGATAAAATTATAGTGCAATACAGAAAATATTTTAATTCATAGGTGTGCAATGAGTCAATCAAAAAATAAACTAATTAGCATTGTAAAAACCTCTTTAATACTTTTTTTATATACTTGATTGAACTCAAAAGGTATATAGCCTTTTCTTTTAGTTAAATAAAGCATTCTGCATATTTCAAATCTTTGGTATGAGTACTTGTTAATTGTTTGACAAACATTTTCTGTGACATTAGTAGACCTGAGCAATCCAGCTGTTTTCTATTTCAAAATAAACATACCATGCTTGAGTTAACCATGGAAATTGCATAAATGTGTACTTTGTAGGTGTTTGGTTTAATAATTTAATATTGCTATTTACTTCCCACAATTACACAAAACAAAAGCTGGGATTTCAACTAAAATAAAATTTAATTATATACATGTATGTTTGGGAAAACAAAAGTAAGGGCTGTATTAATTTAGTTTTTAAGTTTCAGCATTTCTATTTTGACAGTAGAGGAGCACACTTAAAAATAACTAACCTCAAGTCTTTATGCCAGAACATGTATGAAGCTGACAATTAGAGGGGTAATTTTATTAGAACTTGATGCTAATACCTTAGTTTTATATCAGACGTTTATAACTAAGCTAGTTATCTGCCCCATTTCACTTAGCGGTCCATGCTCAGGCAAGAAATCAGCTGTGATCCATTTGTATTTAATATTGTCTCCCCTGTCATAATTGCATTTTTAACAGGTCAAATTGAGTAAAAGTTTCTCCACACCCCCTCAAACAGATATGAACCAAATATAAATTTATAAAAATAAAAACATCAGATCTTTAAATTTTATTTACATGCTATTAAGTCAATATGTATAGTTTTAATATTCATAAGATCGTTAGACATTTTAAACATCTGAACTAAGCACCTAAAGCTCTTTAATTGTAAGTTTTTCCTTCAGTAGATTTTAAAGTGGTGAAAACTCAACCAATTTGACTAATAACAGGTTATTATCTATCTAATTTACCAAGTGACATATGACTAAGCATTTTAATATGCTTAAAAAAATGTTGAGTACATCTGAATATTAAATTAAATAAAAATCAGCTCTAGCACTAGCAGCTTTAAGTACAAATCTGACTCAATAATGTAGGGTCATAATAAAATGAGGAAAATAAAAATTCACCACATGGACAAATAAAAAAAGAAACAAGCATTAAATCATACAATATGTAACCTTTGAGTATAGCTAATTGTTTGTTTGTTTTTTTGAAAAAAAAAACAAACAAACATGTAAATATCTTATTAATGAAAAAGTTTTTTATGTCTGAAAAATAATAGCAAAACTTTTTTTCAAATACTTGTAATTTACATACAGCATCTTTTTAAAAAGGCAGTAAGCTATAGAAAAATAAACACAGCCAAATATACAATTTAAAGTTGTTAAAAAAAAATCCTTATATAACTTTAAATAATTAAAGTAAACTAATAAATAATTACCTTATTTATGATTTTGCATTTTAGCAAAAAGTAATAGAATTTTGAAGATTACAATAATTTTTCCAGGGAACATTTTAGTAAATAATATAAATGAAGAAATAATGAACAAAGACCAGAATAACAGTTGAATTTTTCAATTTTACAGCATTTTCACATTGTTATTTGTATAAAGTATATTTTCATGAAACTTTGTTGATTAATGAATCACACAAATCAGTTAGTTCCTTGTTTTCTTTTCTCTGAAAAAAATATTTAATTCACATATAGAAATGCTATTATTTAATTACATAAAAATTGAATTTCAAGAGGCACCTAAGATGTTGACACATAACACATTGTGTTGGAGGAAATCTTGTCCAACACTACAATTAAAAATGAAGAAGAAGTAGAAAGGCAAGAAAAGAAAACAGGTTTAACCTTTTGTTCCAAGGTGGATTCAAGTCCCTGAATTTGCATTTCTTTCATTTTTAGAGCTGCTTCTAGTCTAGTGATTTCAGACTTGGTTGAAGTTGTCAGTTTCTCATATTTGTCCTCTTGTCTAAACAACATTAATCACATAACAAATTTTTATTTTGTCATTTCTGCTACAATGCGCCTAGTTAAGAACTTAATATATATAAATACTGATTGACTCATTTATTTGGCTGAATAATTTATTATGATTGTATAGAGACAGGAGTTCAATTAAAACCTCCAGCATAAATTTAAGGTTGTGTAAGAAAAATACTGATTTAAAAAAAAAAAAATTTTTATTCTTACTCTGCTATCTTTGTTTCAGCCATTTCTTTAATTTTTTTGGCTGTCTCTTTGCTTGATTTAAATTTTTCTTGAGCACTTTCAACTGCTTGTTTCAATATTTTTTCATTCTGAAATTTTAATTTTGATAAATAAACAAGGACAAAAAATGTCATAATTATTATGTGATTAAAAAAAATAACTATCACAGAACAGAATTTTTTTTTCTGAATTAACTAAACATGAGAATTAGAAACAGTATTATGGTTCAGCATTGTGATTTAATTACTTTTCCCCAACAAAACTAGTTAAAAAATACAGCTCAAAGTAAATTCCCATCAGTAGCAAATTTGTCAAATTTCTTTTTTCAATACCAGTACAAGACTAACTTCCTACCTCAGCAGCTTTTTCTAGAGTCTGTTTTAACTTTTCATATCTGTGAAAAAGATCATCAAATGACTTCTCTAGTGTCTTATTGTCATCCAGAACCTAAGGATAAATTTGTATTGAAAATTTCAGAAAATGTTATTTTTATTTTGCACAGTAAAAACATTTGATCAATTCTTTATTCCATCCTCACTTTTGTCATAATAAAAAACCAGCTACAATAATAAAGGATTGTGATTCCCCAACACATTTTATTTTCATTTTATGTGCAACTTGTATTTAACATAAAATTAAAAGGACATTTTTTTAAAGTTACCTTTGGTATTGCAATAACTTTATAATATCCAGCCGCAACAAATGAGTATATATAATAACTGAGTTCTTAGAAATTTGTTAGGGTATTAATTACAATAATACTTCACTAAAACATGTTTATCTGTTAATAAAATAAATATGCATTCATGGAACAATATTTAGAACATTTTTCTTCAACAATAACAATGAACACTACAGTAGGTATCTACTGAACTAGCATATAAAGAGCTGTAGCTATTCTTGTATGGCTAAAGAATACAAGTGGTAGTAAACATTAAGAGAAGAAAGCAATAAACGATTTTAAACAAAAATAAAGAGTTCAAATGAACTGTTCTGTTACCTGGCTATTATACTTTTGTAATTCTGCTAGCTCAATTGTCAATTTTTCTTGCTCTGCTGTTACTTTTTTCTTCTCAGCTATAAAATTAAAGTAATTAGTAATCATCATCTGACAGTAAACTAAAACATTTTCAACTAAATAATTTGAGTGACAACAAGTTTAGCAACAAGGCTGATGTTAACAAAGAAAATCTTACCAGTTACTTGAGAAATTATGTCTGTGTATTCTTTCATGACTTCACTGACAAAAGAAAAATAAAGTTACCAAATAATTTACCGAAAGAAATAGTTGTTATGCAAATAACACTTTGTGTCCAACAGATGCTAAATTATCAAGAAAAGGGAGGCTAATTATTAACACTTCTGAAAATGATGTTTACATTTACAAATGAAAATTAATCTTTAATATTACTAAACATATTAGAGAAATTGAGGTCATCATATTTAGGTACAACTCTAAAATTAGATTTTTGTTACTTTTTCAGTCCTTATTGACTTTTATCAACATTTTTACCCCGACATTTTAACGCACTTTGTTTCCAACATGAACCTTTCTTACTTTAGACTCCTAAGTTTTCCTTGAAGATTTTTTACTTTGTTCTTTAGGCCATCACTATCAGCTTTAAGCTGAGCCTTTTCTTTGTTTGCTTCATCTTCTTGCACTTTAAGCTTTTCCTGAAATTCTTTATCCTTCTTTAAAATAAGTTCTTGAAAGTGCATGGTAAGATCAGCACGTATTCGTTTTACCTCACTTTCTGTGTAGGTACACGGCTGTTGAAAATTTAGTTTTTTTATGGTTATTAGAAACTTAAATAATAACATAGTAAATGCTCCTTAAGAGCAAATGATAGCCAAACAAACAAATAATAAAAGTGATTTCAAGGAAAAGGCAAAACAGGATAGGGAAAAAATATTTAACAGGAATAGATTGTAGTGCAACACAAGTACTCACCTCACCAACATCAACAAGAACTGCACCTTTACTTCCTGGTATCAAGTTTTCATGAACTATCTAAAAGGACAAGAATGGGCCAAATTGATTAATTACATCAATATAATTTTTCAATATTAAATTTTGTTATCGAGACAGGGTTCGTACAACATTTTCAAAATTAAATTCCAGACTTTTTTGGAAATATTCCAGACTTTTACAGATTATGTGTTATCCCAAATCAATAAAATGATGCAACATGTGTACCCTCATTATAAGTTCAGTATTATGACATTCATTTTAGGCAATTGAGCTAATATTTATATTGAACTATCTCTAGCCGAATTGACAGAAAATGACTTTTCTAAGGTTGTCTACCCAAGTCCTCCCAAACTTTAAATTATTAAAATAATTGATTAAAATGATGAAATCATTGTTTCCAACATTAAACAATTATTAAATAGCAGTCCTATCAATTAGGCATAATAGTGAGAGTTAATTACTAGCCTAGACCTATTTTACCCTAAGTTCTAGATCAAGTAAATAGTGTTTTTGGATATAATAAGCTACTTGAAAGGAAAAATTTGGAGCAAAAAAAAAAAAAAAAAAACACACTGCAGGTTGTAACCACACCATTATTTATGCTTATAGCTAAGAAACTTGTGTCTGCTATTAAAAATTACTGGTACATTCCACAAGACACGGCAGGGTCACTGTGAGATCACAGTAGTCCAGACATCAGTAAGCCTGTCTAATGCACCTTGGTGAGTTTACACAAGATATCCGTGAATGCAGTTACAAGGAGGGGCGTGTTAGTCTAGCCCTAATCATCAGCATTTGCAAAGATTGCAAAAAGTTTAATTGAAAGTAAATTTAAATACAGGTAGATAAATTATACGCAGACTATCACTTACACCCCTACCTCAGAATCATTTGATATGACTGCCTGCCTGCAACCTTAGACAAACTTAAGGAAAAAGCGGGTAAAAGAGGTCAAGGTTTGTATGGGCGATCATTTTTTCATCAAATAATTTTAAATACTTGTAACACAATCAGTCTGTCACTAAATAAAAAAAAAAACAGTCTAACAATCACCGCCCTTTCTCTTCCAATGAGGTAGTAACTGAGCAATTGTTTTCTTCTGCAATTCAGTGAAAAATCCTGTCATACCATAGTGTAGACCCGCACAGGAAAAAAAATGGGAGTAAATTCATTAAACTATAGTCGGAAAATACGGACTTTGTGGGCAAGTTTTGTTTCTAAAACTAGATTCCAGACTTTTAAAAAATCCAACCCAAAAACTTGTGATTTTCCAGAATTTTTAAAGTCTGAAATTCATTTTTCTAAATTCAAGACTTTTTCCAGACTGCGTACGACCCTGTCCAGAGCATGAAAATAGTTCAGTGTAATATTGTGATCAAAACTAAGAAATAGTTACCGTATCCATTCCATCACAGTCTTCATCTATACCAAAAATCATATCCACTTCATTAGCTGCACTTTCCTCCTCAATCGACTGAACTCTGTTGTTGTACACACGCCGAGTTAATGTCCGCCTTCTAGCAACGCGCGGAGGAGTGCCAAACAAACAGACACTGTCATCTACAAAGCTTCTAAAAAATCATCAAAAAGAGGAAATTTAAAATGTAAAAATGTTTTCCGATGTGTACACTAAAAAAAAAATGAGTTGACACAAATGGACAATTCAAACACAATCAAATACTTACAATCCAAGAGCTTTAGAGTCTTTAAATACATCAGAAACTCTAGGTGGTTTATGTATGGGACCTAGAGATTTACAAAAAACATCTTAAAATGTGCTTTAAATATACCCCCTCTGCTTAAACTAGTTAAAGTAAAAACCAAAAGTTGAGCAGCACAAAACAAAGAATGTTGAAACTTTAAAAACCTGGACTAGAACACAATGGTTTAGATAGTAAAGACTCCCTCCTCTCTTGTAGTGGATCAAATTTCAGTAGTACAGAGCCTCTTTTTGAGTTTGGTCCCTATGGACAAACAAAAGTAAACTCATTAAGATAATTGTATCAAGCTTGATGAGGCTTTAAATATTCATATTTTTTTTCTTTATTTGAAGTTGTGTAAACAGATGTTGGATAAAAAAGGAAAATCAATACATCATTTAAATGTAGAAATTACCTTAATATTTGAAGACTTCTCAAGCATGTCAAAAAATTCAGGGTTGTTGAAGGCTTAAATATAACAAAGATATTATGCCATAATTAGCAGATCTCAAACTATTAAACATCGGGGTAAAAAAACTGAAAATATACAGGGCGATAGCCCATTGTGAGACAATGCTAAACAAAATGAAGAAATCCTCAATCAACTCAAAATTATTAAATCAATGGCTTGACAATAAGGTCACCAAACCTTATAGCCTTTCTGAAAGTGTTATATGGTTTGAAATTAAATGTTGCATAATTCAAATTTCAACGCTTATAATGTATTGCTTTTGCTGAACTCATGTATAGTGGCATCACAAAGGATTATGTGAGAACTTACTCAAACAATGTACAAATTATGAATAAAAATAGAGATATAGTTTTGTACTTGTTTAATCATAGCCTAAAGGTAGCTCAATCAAAATATCAGACTTACCTTCAGTAGCTGGTATAAAATTTTCATCATTCTCGAAGTCAGTATTGTCCTCATTTGCATGTTTTACTTCTAAATTGAGTACTTGACTTTCAGCAGTTAAGAGGTTATCTTCTACCGGTGTTTTCTCAACTGCAGCTTGTTCATGAGGTATGACCTGACTTTCTTCTTTAGATAAATCTTTAATTGAAAAATCTTTAAATGTGTTTAAATCTGATTCCAGGACTCCATTGGTAAAATCCACTGATTTGTTTTTAGAAATATTAAGACAGGGTTGACCTACTAATCCACAGGAAGAGCTATCTGCTTTTATGTGTGGAGCATCAGAAGCAACAACTGGGTTTAAATTCATTTCTTTAAGTAAATTGTAACCAGAGGTGGAATCCTGTAAACATTTGTTTTGATCAGTTTCATGCAAACCAGTATGTGCAATCACCAGATTTTCTGTTTGCAGTTTGTCATTACGTGCAAATGGCTTTAATGAATCTAACCTAGGAGAGTTAGAAAGTTGGGCTTTACCACTGAATGGATTAGTAGGCTTAACTGATTCATCATCAACTGTTGCTTGTGAAACTGCTTTGTCAACAGAAGGAGAATTAGGTAACTGAGATTTAGTTTTGAATGGATCTGTAGCCGTCTCTATGACAAATTCATCAACTGTAGGTTGTATTTCCTTTTCAACAGAAGGAGAATTAGGTAACTGAAATTTTGTTTTGAATGGATCAGTAGACTTTTCTACAGCTAATTCATCATCATCTGTTGGTTGTGAAACTGCTTTGTCAATAGAAGAATTAGGTAACTGAGATTTTGTTTTAAATGGATCAGTAGACTTTTCTACAGCTAATTCATCACCAACTGTTGCTTGTAAAACTGGTTTGTCGACAGAAGGAGAATTAGGTAACTGAAATTTGGTTGTAAATGGATCTGTAGCCTTCTCTACGACAAAGTCTTCAAATGTAGGTTGTATTTCCTTTTCAACAGAAGGAGAATTAGGTAGTTGGAATTTTGTTTTGAATGGGTCAGTGACCTCTGAAAGAAATTCATCATCAACTGCCAACTGTATTTGTTTGTCAAGAGAGGGTGAATTAGGTAACTGAAATTTAGTTTTGAATGGATGAGTAGACTTTTCTACAGCTAATTCATCACCAACTGTTGCTTGTGAAACTGCTTTGTCAACAGAAGGAGAAGTAGGTAACTGAAATTTGGTTGTGAATGGATCTGTAGCCTTCTCTTTGACAAATTCATCAACTGTAGGTTGTACTTCCTTTTCAACAGAAGGAGAATTAGGTAACTGAAATTTTGTTTTGAATGGATCAGTAGACTTTTCTACAGCTAATTCATCATTAACTGTTGCTTGTGAAACTGCTTTGTCAACAGAAGGAGAATTAGGTAACTGAAATTTGGTTGTGAATGGATCTGTAGCCTTCTCTTTGACAAATTCATCAACTGTAGGTTGTATTTTCTTTTCAACGGAAGGAGAATTAGGTAACTGAAATTTTGTTTTGAATGGATCAGTAGACTTTTCTACAGCTAATTCATCATTAACTGTTGCTTGTGAAACTGCTTTGTCAACAGAAGGAGAATTAGGTAACTGAAATTTTGTTTTGAATGGATCAGTAGACTTTTCTACAGCTAATTCATCATTAACTGTTGCTTGTGAAACTGCTTTGTCAACAGAAGGAGAATTAGGTAACTGAAATTTGGTTGTGAATGGATCTGTAGCCTTCTCTTTGACAAATTCATCAACTGTAGGTTGTATTTTCTTTTCAACGGAAGGAGAATTAGGTAACTGAAATTTTGTTTTGAATGGATCAGTAGACTTTTCTACAGCTAATTCATCATTAACTGTTGCTTGTGAAACTGCTTTGTCAACAGAAGGAGAATTAGGTAACTGAAATTTTGTTTTGAATGGATCAGTAGACTTTTCTACAGCTAATTCATCATTAACTGTTGCTTGTGAAACTGCTTTGTCAACAGAAGGAGAATTAGGTAACTGAAATTTGGTTGTGAATGGATCTGTAGCCTTCTCTTTGACAAATTCATCAACTGTAGGTTGTATTTCCTTTTCAACAGAAGGAGAATTAGGTAAGTGAAATTTTGTTTTGAATGGATCAGTGGACTTTTCGACAGCTAATTCATCACCAACTGTTGCTTGTGAAACTGGTTTGTCAGCTGAGGGTGAATTAGGTAGCTGAAATTGTGTTTTGAAAGGATCACTGCTGACAGTGGCAGTCTTTAAAGTAAATTTATCATCATCTTTAAGTTCTTTTGTTGGTGTAGCATTACATTTTTCAACAGGAGGAGAATTAGGAAGCTGAAATTTGGTTTGGAATGGATCAGTAGGGTCTGCAACAGTCTCTACAATCAGTTCATCATCAAGTGAAGTCTGTGTTGTTTTTTTAACTGTAGGAGAATCTGGAAGCTGAAATTTGTATTCTAATGTGTCAACAACAGTCTCTACAACTGATTCATCATTAACTGCAGATAGTGGTATTAGTTTTTCAGCAGTAGGAGAATTAAGAGGCTGAAATTCTGTTTGTATTGTATCAAGTTTCTTTTTTGTTGAAATGCTTGGTGTTTTCATAAATTCCACATCTGATAATTCTGATACTAAAATATGTTTATTAGTAGGTGAGTAAAGGGTCTGTGTATTAGAAGAATCAAAAATTAAATTTTCAATCATCTCAATCCCTTGTTTGACAGTATTTTCTGCATTTTCATTTGATTGCATTTTAAATTCTGTATTGGATTCTGAGGAAACAGTATGTACCTGATCAAAGCAGGCATTATTCTTGAACTGAAGAGCTGCATTATCATCAAACGCTTTAGATGGTGAATTTGTAAAGGATAGCCCATGTGCTATGTCCAGGCCACACAACAAATCTGCCAATTCATCAACTTCTTGTAAAATCTTTGGTGGCTCTTTTCTGTTTATTTGACATACAGCATCTTTTTCTTTTTTACTGCTTACTTCATCACTAGTCATCCTAAATAAAATAAAAAGCACAATATTTATTGCACGCCTGACACAAGCATGTTTTTGGTAATAAAAGTAATGTTTAAATATTATCTTGCCTTTCATTTGGAAGATTTTCTACTGGTAAGTCACCAATAATATCCAACAAAATCAACCGTGCATTTTCTAGATTTTGCATGTGATCTTGCTTTGTAACAACACTTGTTCGCTCTATCCATCTTTCAGCTGAGTCCAGTTCTCTAATACATTTGTATGGGGAAGTAATTGGAGTCTTCTTAGCAGGTGATGAACTCATACCCTATGTTCAAAACAACAAAAATTATTTTTGAAAATTGGCAATAGTTTTTGGTTAGACATAAGTGCCATGCGTTGCATCAATTTACTAAATCTAAGAGAAAGAAATAATTGGCAACCTGAGTATTTGATAGGCGTCTATCATCATTTACAGGTTTTAATGGTGATTGACTTGATGTCCTATGTATCACTTGAAGCTTGGAACAGTGGTCAGGTTTATTTTCATCAGTAACATCCATCTTCAATGGTGTGAAGTTACAAACATTTAGGCCTTCAAAAAAAGATTGTTTTAATGGTTATGGCTCGACTCACAACACTGCGTGCATTCATGGTATGTATGTAGCCTGACCGGCTGAAAGGAAATAAGTTTTTTTTAAAATATTATTTTGAGTTTATATTTAACTTAATCATGCAACAGCCGGCGGGTAAGTTGAGGCCACGACGGGGGGGGGGGGGGGGGGGGGCGTTCTGACCGGGATTCAAAGGGACGACTCGAAATATCATCCTTGAATTGATTTAGATCTAGATTTCTAGCTAGATCTAGACTAAATTCTAGACTCTAGATTACTGTGATTCTCAAATTCCGAATCAAAATCTATTACTAGATATCTAGATCTATTATTATTAAAAATATTAATTATTAAATTAAATTATTAGCCTAGCAACTAGACGTCTAGAATAGTCTAGACTCTAGATTCTAGATTGAAGTAGATTCTAGATCTAGATCTAGATTAGTGATTAGATTTTACTAGATCTCTAGAGTCAAGAGTATTCTAGAGTCTAGATCTATGGGTATACCGATCTATGCTATTTTGAAAAAGGAAATAGTCTAGATATTTTTTTTAGGATTTCGAGTTTCAGGAAAAGAGAGCAACTTACCAACACCAATCGGTACATAAACAAGGCCTATGAGTAGGCTATGAGTATGAGGTCGACGAATTTTGAATTTTCCGCCACCAACCGGAAGTCAAAGCTATTTAAATAAATTAGGCCTAGGACTTCGACCTAATCTAGGCCTAGATCTAGAAATGTATAGATTTAATAAGGCGAAAGCTAGGAACAACTATTTCTTTCTCCTTAAAGAAACATAAATTGCGCTTTTCTAGTTACATCAACTGCTGCGACGTGTCTATAGTATAGACTCTAGCCTACTGATTATCAATTATCATTATTACATATTAGCCTATTAAATAATTATTTATTAGTATTATTAGCCTTATGAGCCTTATATTAATTATTGGGATTGAAAAACTACTTGCCTAGTCTTCTATATCTAGCTCTAGATTCTAGGCATATATCCAGTAAATCTAGACATAGACTATTAGGGAGTTAACAAGATCTAGATTAGATAGACTCTATGCCTATCTATAAATAAACTTTAAAAAAGCGACAAATGTCGCATGCGAAAATTAGCTTGGCTTTTAAATCTACCACATTTTTCTGGCAATGTCCAACATTTAGTTTAGACTTGACAACCTAGACTAGTTAGTAGATTCTAGATATCTACTAGATTTAGATTATTTTAGACCTGGTTTAAGTGTAGAATTGTGTAGATCTATCTCGCCCCCAGATTATTCTACATTAGGGGCCTAGATTTATACAATCTTGCTTTGTAAAGATCTCATGACATTAAGCCTATGTTAAAAATAATAAAATTAAATATGAGTAGTTTAGAAAACACACCGGCGGAGAGTAGAGCTAAGCAAAATGAAGAAATGGTTGAAAATAATCGACCGCCATGTGTTGTAGACAGATATTTTAAAAGGAGATATAAAACAGGTCAGTAGCTGTTGTTAATGGGTGTTGGGAAATTGCGAGGCACGAAAAGCGAAATGGTGAGGCAGTAAACTGCGAGAACATAATACGAGACATACCTGATTGCTGCTGATTACTTGCGGAATCACGGGTAAATAAATAGTAAATACTAAAAAATAGCGAGACACCTTGCTTTTGCAAAAAAAAGTTTTGTTTCATGCTTAGGCCTATTTATTTTAAATTCTTGTTTTGTTTTAAAGTAAATAAGCATAGATCTATAATTCTATATAGTATATACTATATAGGCCTACTAGGCCTATATAATATTATATAACACCATACTCTTTAACAACACGAGTGTTGATTGTTATTTTTTTAAATCCAGTTTTCATTATATATAAATAAAAATATTTATAAATTGGCCTATACTAAGATAGATCTAGGTCTATCTATTTAAAAATCCTAACAACGTTGCTGTGCTTCTGTCATCGCCTCTCTCTTCCCTTTGGGTGCAGTTACTAAGACTGCTACTTGTAAGTTCTCACGAATTCTTGCAACTATGTCATCAGGGTTAACAGCAGGCAGAATTCTGGTGTGCTCCTCACTATATAGAGGAACAAAATCGTGTTTAAGAAGCTAATTTCTCATGAGCCTTTGTCCTCTGTAAATTTCTTTTATGTAGAAGGGGCTCATAGCTTCTACAGGTGCTTCCTTGCAATTTTGAATTCTTTTAAGTAAAGCATTAAAAGATTCACTTTGGTTCGCTGAGATTTCGGAAAGGCCGTAATCTGCTAAGACCCAAGAACTTATAATACAATATTTCTATACAACAATATAAAAATGATTGCGGCGGTAGCGGCTACGGGCACGGGGATCATCAAATACGATAAATCAGGCGGCCTTGGTGTTCCGCATAAAAGAAAAAAGTTCTATCGTCAGTGGTATTTCGGGCGGTTTCAAACAAGGTGGTATTCTAAGTCGAAATAAAAGAAGGGGAAGTTGACAAATCATTATGTCTAGCGACAGAAAAATCTGAATTTTTAACAATGTAAACGAAACGTCTTTGAAGTCTGCATCAAATACCACTGTAAATCAAATTAACGCAATCCTTTTATAGCTGCGCAATGAGATCATTTTACTTTTTAGCCTTATGCTTCTAACAAAACTATCTGTAGCATGCTTTGGGCGGGTCATCATGGAATGAGGGTTCATAGTATAGTTATATAGTTATATCTAGTAAATAGTTCTAGTCTATAAGTAACGTATACAATATTTTAATCTACTATTTAGGTAGTATTTATCGAGTTAATCCCTGCCTCATCAAGACAACACATAGGCTTAAACATTACTAAACAACAAACAAACATTTAGATAATAAGAAAAAAAAACAGGTCATTATAGCGCATGCGTATCTTCTTCCAGCTAGAATCTGCTGTAGTCATTGGTCTACTCAGACTATTATGGACTACTTACTAATTAAGGGTAGAAGAGAGCTTTAATGCACAACCATTCTATCCAATTAGTTTCCAGTAGGCTTTTACTTCAAGCCTCCTGGTTAGAGTTGTATAGGGAGACTGAGACTTAATTGACTACTTTAACTTATGATAGTGGCATTTTAATTTATTACTTTGGCTAATTAAAACTTCAAATGAGTTAGCCTAGTGTAGTGTATATTTAATAATGTCCTAATGAATAAATTAATAGGTAATGGTGGTTTTAAAAAAAGGGCTTACTAGTTGTCATTAATCAATCGTTGTAGGCTCTCACTGTAACATTCTCTTGTTATTTAAGTGTCTTATTTCTAATTGCAAAATTAAAATAACTTTTAATTATGATTGCAGATATTTTAAATAAAGCGGGGGAGGATCAATTGGTACTTACTCACTCCAATAGGTAGGCTGATGTTTGTTTTTGCATAAACTTAAGATTACAGTAGTTACTTGTGTTTTATATCATTATATTTTAGTTGACAGTAAAATTACTTAATTGATGTTTAAATAACTTTTTAGCTTATTGAGTTTAAATAGTATGTTGAAGAAGGATTTATTGATTTTCAGGGTTTGTGTCATTTGTCTTGCAGCATCCCATCCACTGATAAGAGAAAATAAAAAGATAACCAAAGTGAGTTTTGGTGAAGACAAATGGAATCGGCTTGACAACAAGTTTTCTGGAAAATCCAAAAGAGTATGGATTTTTATTTTTTATGGTATTAAATTATTTTTAACTAAATATGAAATATTTTTTTGAAAATGCATTCTAAATTTATTTTTTAAAATATATTTTTTAAAATTGTTAATGAGTTAATAATTCTATTTCTAAAATGGAGGGTGCTCAATGGTTGGATGCTACAGCTCCTCTATGTGAAGTAACTTGTGAAGATGGTAGTTGCTATTTATTGACATGCTGTGTAAAAGGTCAACTTATTGAAGTGAATGAAAATCTGTTAAAAAATCCTCAACTTCTTACTCAGAAGGTTAGTATTGTATTTCTTATGTACAGTGCTCGGTGAAAAGTTTTCCAATTTCTAAAAGCAATTAGATTGAATGCTTGAAGCTTGAAGTCATAATAAAGACTTGATTAAGCTGTATTAGGCTGAAAAATCAAGTGAGCTTCCCTATTTCTGTAGAAACCCTAAATTTTGTCATCTTTATAACACTAGGTCTAAAATATATTCCATTAAATTAAACTTGGATTATTGTTGTTTTTTTTTTTGTTGACCAGCCACAAGGGGAAGGATATCTAGCTGTCATACTACCAGGGCTAAAGGGGTTTGAGCGAGAAATGTCCCAGCTTAAAACAGAAGAGGACTACAAACTAACACTTGCTAATCGAGTCGGCAATACTTAATAAAAAGTTGATTGATATTTCATTATACTACTGTTCATTGACTTGTTTTTGTCTGGGATTATTTTTAATATTCAAAATTGAGCTAGTTTTTTTTCCTTTGTGTGAATCATGTTTAAATTTTAAACAAAAATGTCGTATTTAAGGGATCATCTGAAATTTAAAACACGACAACAATAAACATTCTTAACAAAACATACAGTTAGTACCATAGCCACAAATTAGACAGTTTTAGTTTTCTATTTTATTTTTTAATCTAATGTTAATTAATAACCCACACCTGAGTGGTCATTCATTCATGATGTCCAAAATGGAATCCCAGGGTCTGCTTAGATGTATCCTAAATATGGAATAGATATGAGGTTAGTCCATAAATAACATCAAGCTCCAAAAGTGTACACAATTTTTTTTAATTCAATTTTCAGAGCTATTTGTAATCAGAGTTTCTTCCACTTCCAGGCATTCCTTTGGGAGAGCTCCCCCCCCCCCCCCCGAATGAAAGGGAATGTATAGTTACCACCACCCCTGCTTTTTTATAAATAGGAATTCACGTTGGTAAAAAGTTGCCGCCGCCCCTTCTTCCCCGTTTACCGGCCACTTTCCCTTTTTATTATGGTGTCCCACATTTGATGTAGAAAACGGTTTAAAAGTCCATACAAGGCCAAGCATCCTTTTATTTTCCTAACTTCGACTGTGATTGATTCAGTAATGCAGCTTAGAACAAACTTTCTGGATATTTTTTCTACCACGTTTTGTGCGAAGATCAGCGCCCGGTTCGCCCCCCACCCCCGCCTTTCTCTCTAAAGTGTGTCTCTGTTGACTGATGTGAGAAAATACTGTTCACTGCGTTCTTAAAAGTTAAAGATTTTAGTAGGTTATTGTTCCGTTTACAAAACTAGGATTAAGGATTATTGACATGCTGTGTAAAAGGACAACTTATTGAAGTGAATGAAAATCTGTTAAAAAATCCTCAACTTCTTACTTACTTAAGCTGCATAGAGAAAATACAAGGACTAAATGTTCGCTAAATTCAAATTGAAACTGCGCATTCGTGAACTTTTGTCTGAAAGTGAAAGTTGGAAAGGCAACAGAGAAAGTCACACTGATTTGCAACAATCTTCATTATTTTGTCTTTGTGTGAAAATCATATTTTAAATTGTTTTGTTCTTTGAATTTGAACACACTGATGTTTATTCGTGGTTCATTTTGAGCAGGTGTGTTTGAATTTGGAAAAAAAAAAATCATGTTATTTCCCTGTTAAGCTGGTGGGGTTCGATACCTCCCAAAAGGTTAAAATCCACTACTCGAACTAAATGATTGATAAAAACTGGCGGGAAATATTTTGTCTAGACAAGTAGCCTACGAAAACCTTTGTTTACCAGCTTCGATTTTCTATGGTTTATTTAGGCTTATTATATTTATAGGCGCGTGAAATAAAAACGTGCACGACAAGTGTGTGATGTATGTGTAAAAAAAGTAGAGAAAAAAAACGAACTTAATTCAAAATAACCATTCTGTTAGAAAATAAATCTACACCTAAGCTATAAGACTTAAAATTAAGTGCTGAGTGAAATTATGTTTATGATTTCTAGAAACTGAACCTTACACACTTTTAACGTTAAAGCTTAGTTTGATCAAAAAAGGCAGGAAGTTTCGAGCAGAGGCGTAGCGACCCTACCCGGGGACAAACTTTCAATTTGCACCCCCCCCCCCCTCAAACTTTCGATGTGCACCCCTCCCCCTCAAGCTTTCGATTTGTTTTTCCAACCCATTTTGGCACCCCCTAAGGTCGGCGCCGGGGACATATGTCCCCGCCCCCCTCGCTACGCCTCTGGTTTCGAGGGAATTCTGTGTCAACTAGGAGCTATCTTTCCTTCAGATGCCAGCCTTTGACGTATCTCTCTGTAATCATTAACCAATCAAATAAGGTTTACACGAACTGATTGCTCGTTGATCTCCCCTCTACCGTGGAAGGCCCAGCAAAAATAAAGTTTGGCCTATCTAATTTTGTTGGGTGAGATATAACGGGGCTCGATATAAGCAGAGTTTCTTTCAGGCATCTCTTCGGGGGTGCTTAGCCACCCCCCCCCCCCCCGCCCCTTTCGGAAATGTGTCTGTTCCTCTTGGCTTAGAATGTTACAACACGTTTTATTGATGCTGATTCTAATCAGAACGTCGTGGGCGGTGCCACTATAATTAAAACGGTTATTACTGCTTCTTTAACCAGTACAATTTGTTCTGTATTTGTTGTTATGTGTGAGAAGGCAGCGCACATCTGCGAAATCCAAGACTTCGAGCTGTTATGTCTGTTGAATTCCATTTTGTTTCATCTAGCTTATTTCGTTATACAATCAACCAGTCAATGAAATACCCATGTTGTTTTCCATGTTGTAAATGTTGCTATTGTATGTCACTTGACACTATTCTAACAAACTTATAATCCAAGTATGTACTATATCACGACAGAGACTGTTTCGAAGATAGAACATAAAACGTTGGTTTAAACAAATTAGAGCCTTCTACAAACTACCCTGTAAACTCAGATCAGGCATATTTTTTCTGACATTACTAAACTTTTTAAAAAGGAAAACGCATCTTAAAGGGAATTTTAATTGGCGTCGAATAAAGTTTTAATTATTAAATCTTTACCGGACTTTACACACACAGTGTCACACACACACATATACGGGGGGGGGGGGGGGAGAGATTGAAACTTCGCCCCGGACGTCGGGAGGGGTCGCTACCCCTCTGGTTGAAGTCTTTAAAACGAAAGAAAAAAAGTATTATCGTTTGTAAGCATATACTAAGTGAAACAATTTATGTTGATTTAAGGCCTTAAATATATAATTAATACACATTCGTGCTCAGTATAATGGCTCATCCTGCTGTCTTCTTCAGCCTTAAAGTGCTTTCCAATACAAGTGGGAGGCCCGACAACTGAGTTAGCTAATCCGTTTAAGGTGTACGTGGGCGCTCTTCACCGCCTGCCGACATTTAGCCCAGTCCGTCACTGTCACGTGCACATTGTTGTGGCTTAGCGGCGTAGCCGGCCCAGATTAACTAGGGCGATCGCTCTGTCCCTGGCTTAGTGATCAACTTGTTCATTTCCACCCTGGTGATGCAATAATAAAATAGAGCATTCCCAGCATACATTGCCCTGATTTTGTTTCCGGAATCAAATTTTTAATATTTCAGAAAAGGCCAGCAACACAAGAGATCTTTGTGGATTAGTCAATAGATGTCAGCATCTCATCTTAGCATAAACTAATAAACTAGTTATCTTCGCCGCAGGGGCGGAACTACAGTGCCGCCAGACCCCGCAATGCGGGGGGGGGGGGGGGGGGGGCCACGCCATTTAGGGGCCCACAGCCGACCATAATAAATTTTTCTATAGTGAAAAAAAAAATTTCTTGCATTTTTGTCTTGATGGTTGTTTTGTAAAAAAAAAGATTACCGTAGCTGCTGTTGGATTATCTTTATTCTATAGACACCAACCCAAGCTATTGTATATTTTTCCCCCCCTTTTTTTTTAAACCACTGTGAAAGTCGAGTCCTCTTTCTCCTACAATCAAACTTATTTATTAAAGATAAGCAAACGTTCAAACCACTTCCGTGACTTATTTCCCTTTTTTAAATAGTCAAATAAGGGTGCTCATAAGCTCCTTTTAATAGGTTTGCACTAAACAAATTAAAAAGTAATTACTTCTCTTAACTGTTTTTTTTTATAAAGTACTTACTAAAGAATGCCATTGAATAAAAAGGAAATATATTTAAAATTAATAATATAAATACAAAAAAACATGAAAATAAACATAACACGAGACACCATTACTTATACAAAGCTTTCATAAAATAATACTGATTTTCTCAAAACAGACTAAATGCACTCGCACACAAGACATAATGTTGTAATTTTTTTAATGAAAAAAAAAAGAAACATTATATATATATATATATATATATATATATCTATATATATATATAGGGAGGGGCCTAAAAACAATTTTTGCGGGGTGGCCCTTTTTTCTAGTTCCGCCACTGCTTCGCCGACAGATTTCTTTCACACTTTACACGTCGATATTTCTTACAACATAAGAACAAGATTTTCAGGGCCACGAACAACAGACTTAGAGATGTAAACATTTTATTTCGTTTGCCTGAGTGTGCATTTGTCCGAAAAAAAAAATTGAACAATATTTTGATTTTTGCGTTTCAGTAAATTTGGGGGGAAAAATACAACACAAAATAGTTTTTTTCTCCAATCGATTATATATAGATCTATATTTTTTTAAACCTCACTTATAATGCTCATATTCTACATAAATTTCAATTACTTTACTACGTGATCGCTTAAGTTAAACACATTGTTTAAACAAAGTGCGATGAACCACAACGAAAAAAACAAACACAAAGGCTCAGATGGACCACGAAGAACGAATAGAAACAAATGTAAATGACGGCAAAAATCTATCTAAACTGGACAACCTTCATTGATTTTATTAGAAATCTGAGATAAAGTAATGCATGTGTTAAAAAAATTAAATTAAAGAATAAATAAATTGTGGACAACAATTTCTCAAAATTAAAGATGAATTTTAAAATCTTAACAAATTTCTGTTTTTTGTATTAGTATGCTTAGAATTGTGTTGATGTCAAATATAAGTCTATTGATTAAAACTTCTGCTTGATAACATAATATTGAGATTCTTTCGGTTAAACAGACTAAGGTCATATGGGTTCCGGACATTGTCCCATCGGGCAAACGTCCATTCGGGCAACTGTTGCATTAAAGTAACAGTCCATTTGGATTAGTTACTGCTAATTTCCAGGCAATAGCCTTATTTAATTGGCACACCAGTAATGGTACAATTATTACAAGACTGCGTCACGCCACACACATTTAATCAAAGACAAAATCAGATTCTATGACTGATCATATTTTAATGCGCCATATTTTGAACATGTTATGGAATGCCGAAAACATGATATTGTTCAGAGGTGGACTGGCTGCGTCCAAGCGGGAAACAAGGAAGCGACCAGCCCGATTTTAATATGTATTTTGACTTGAATATGTGCATGTCCGGTGTCACACTGTGGTTTGTTCCCGTTCTCCCAGCGTCCTTGGCACATCCCAAGTTTGGTACAAAACAATACAAAATACTAGTAACGATGGCCCGTTTCTTCGGTGGTAATTGGCCTAAAAAACAACACCTGGTGATAATTTGGACGAACAAGATAAATCGACCCGGATGTCGATAAGCAAACTATCATTGCAGGACTTTTAAAAAATGGGTCTCGTGGCGCTATTAGGCCTGTTGAGCTACGCCATTGAGTTTCTTTCAGGCATCTCTTCGGGGCCCCCTCCCCCGAAAAAAGTCTACCAAGTCATCCAACAATCGAATTCACTAGAAACAGACTCCCAAAAAAATGCGACGACACGAAAAATTAAGCAATGGAGTTAAAAACACTTTGAACGTTTTAAATAAATTAGTTGACATAGACTAAAAATTGAACTAACATTGCGTTGTACATCTTAGTGCATAAACAAAAAATAAAACTAATTTTACATTTTAAATTCAACGAACAATTAAAATTAACGAACAGTTAGGATACAATAAAACATCAAAATAGAGCCTCAAATGTGTAGAGGATTTATGTTCCTTGCGGTAATTTGCTACAATTTTAATACGTAGATGTACTAAAGTTTGAGTATAATTCAACAAGTAAAACAGTACGAACAGACTTACATTATTGAAAGTAAATATTAAGAAAAATTTAGCGAAAACAAATCATTTCATAAAACAATGTAACGATTCTTTTGTAATTGTTAATGACACGGGGTTGTGGGCCGTCCCCGGTTACCGGCCAGTGAAGAGGATGTTTAGCACTCGCTGCACGCACTGGAGCTCCGGTCGGGTAAATAGACCGTTCTTGTCGCTGTCACAGATCCGATACACTTGCATCATGGCCAGGTCCATCGCTGATCGTTTGCTAGAGCTTGGAACCCTGACAAATTGAAAAAAAAAAGATGGCGTAGAGTAATCGAAAAAAACAACTGTCGATTAGTATGGCCTACTTGCTAGCATAATATACAAAATAATAATAACATGTTTGTTTTAGCAGTGGTAAATAGTATAATCGTAGCCATTATTTTGTTATGGAGGATATTTTGATTTATCTCAAATTCGATGTTATTGCTGATCTTTGTAGATAAAGTTGGATCAATATAGTCAAAAGTATATATGTATATATATATATATATATATATATATATATATATATATATATATATATATATATATATATATATATATATATATGAAACCATATATGCATACGCTACTGTATGCGTGTTGTCAACTGGTGTTGTCTCCCATGTTAATATTAAGTATGCTGTAAAAGTAAAGTATAAGCGTGAATAAACTTTCACTGTTCGGAATGTACTGAGTAAACAGCTTCTTCGTGATCGTCAATGTAATGGTATTTGTCGGCCAGCTATACACACAATCGTAAAACTGAATATAGGCTACACTAACGTCCATTAAAAAGTGAAACGCTTGTCTATTTGTAGCATCTGTATGTATAGCAATCCGCCAAACAACAATAAAACAGCATTAGTAACGAACAGAAACCCGACTGATTGAGGAATTAGCACGTGTCGTCTGATAAGACTTGTGGCATTAGCAGTCAAACGAGCTGGCCGCCTCCGTTTGATAGGATCAAAGTGGTTTCCTTTCTCAAAGAGTTCTTAAGCCGCTCATCAGAACTTTTGTTACGGAAGCTCCAGATCCTGGAATAAATTATGTCTGCGGTACGGGCTGGGATATCCAGCTCAATCAGTGGCAGAAGAAATTGGTGGAGACTTCCAGATAGAACAAATATATTGACCAGCGGGGAAACAACGGAAAAATCCGACGTTTTTTTTTCGGTCAGTTAAAAAAAAACTAAAACGTAAAGATTGTGTATGCTTTGTAAAACTGTAAAGATAAAAGGTATATTTAAAAAAAAAATAAGCATACTTTTGAGTTTGTACATAACGTCAAAACAGTGCTCAGACATTGGTGGAGCAATAAGCGTGTATTACCATGGGCGTACCACCATGGGTATATCACCATGGGTCTGTCACAATTGGTCTATCACCATGGGTCTATCACCATGCATGTGTTACCATGGGTGTATCATCATGGGCGAACCAGCATGGACGTTCCAAAAGGTCAAAGGAATAAATAAATTGAATTAAAAAGCTGTATATTTATAACATGTCGATCTCCATGGTTGCTTATATCCTCTACAAGTTATGGCTACTTCGGTCGGAGTCGGGTGTCAGCCCGTGCGGCACTCCGTGGTGTCACTCCCCTCCCTACCCCCCTTTCCAAGAAACAAAGTATATATATATATATATATATATATATATATATATATATATATATATATATATATATATATATATATATATATATACATTTGTACAAGCTTTAATCACTGCAGACACTGTAACAATGTTAATCTATAGTCTGTTAATAATACAGTTGGATGTAGCATTGTTTTCTATATAGTTTGCACGTTTACGTCATGGTGTCACACACACCCTCTTGTAATAATTGTCGATATGTACTAAAAAGACTTATTTAACTTCAATTAATCATTAACTGGCAAAAAGCATTTTTCCTCTGTACATTTTGCAATTTTTTTGCCATGGTGTCACAGGCGTAGCGACCCTTCCCGGGGACAAACTTTTCGATTTGCACCCCCCCCCCCTCAAGATTTCGATTTGCACCCCCCCCCCCCCCGCCTCAAACTTTCGATTTGCACCCCCCTCATCCTTTCAATTTATTTTTTCAAACCATTTTGGCGCCCCCTAAGGTCGGCGCCCGGGGACATATGTCCCCCTCGCCCCCCCCCCCCCCCCTCGCTACGCTACTGCATGGTGTCACCCCTCTAAATGGTGTCACCCGGTGCGGTCCGCACCCCCCCCCCCCCCCCCCCCCCCCCCGCCATGTTTCCAATTTATATTTGGCTTGTTAAACTTACTTTTTAAAAATATTCATTTAGGGTTGTTTTTTTTTAAAACGACAACTGCGTTCCCACAAGTTACAGACGCAGTGGTATTTAAATGTTCCCATTGCACAACCAATTTAACGATTTAAAGCTTTATAGCAATCGGATTAATGTTAAGTACCGTTTTAGGCATGGCGGTCCATAGGGCTCATGGAGTCAGAAAGACTGCATGTGCCTTACGATGGGTTAGTGTGTTAGTACTGTGGCTTTACTTTCCTAGACTCAACTTAGATCGGCTACATGTTAGTTTACAACTCGCCACAAGAGAGGCTACCTGTCAGATCTTGTCACAAGATAGGCTACCTGTCAGATGTCATAAGATAGGCTATCTGTCAGATCTCGTCACAAGAGAGGCTACCTGTCAGATGTCACAAGTTAGGCTACTTGTCAGATCTTGTCACAAGATAGGCTACCTGTCAGATGTCACAAGTAAGGCTACCTATCAGTTGTCACAAGTAAGGCTACCTATCAGTTGTCACAAGATAGGCTACCTGTCAGATCTTGTCACAAGATAGGCTACCTGCCAGATCTTGTCACAAGATAGGCTACCTGTCAGATGTCACTAGATAGGCTACCTGTCAGATCTTGTCACAAGATAGGCTACCTGTCAGTTGTCACAAGATAGGCTACCTGTCAGATCTTGTCACAAGATAGGCTACCTGTCAGATCTTGTCACATGATAGGCTACCTGTCAGATGTCAGATAGGCTACCTGTCAGATGTCAGATAGGCTACCTGTCAGATGTCACAAGATAGGCTACCTGTCAGATCTCGTCACACGATAGGCTACCTGTCAGATGTCACATGATAGGCTACCTGTCAGATCTCGCCACAAGATAGGCTACCTGTCAGATCTTGTCACAAGATAGGCTACCTATCAGATGTCAGATAGGCTACCTGTCAGATGTCACATGATAGGCTACCTGTCAGATCTTGTCACAAGATAGGCTACCTGTCAGTTGTCACAAGATAGGCTACCTGTCAGATTTAGTCACAAGATAGGCTACCTGTCAGTTGTCACTAGATAGGCTACCTGTCAGATCTTGTCACAAGATAGGCTACCTGTCAGATCTTGTCACAAGATAGGCTACCTGTCAGATCTTGTCACAAGATAGGCTACCTGTCAGTTGTCACAAGATAGGCTACCTGTCAGATGTCACAAGATAGGCTACCTGTCAGATGTCACAAGATAGGCTACCTGTCAGATCTTGTCACAAGATAGGCTACCTGCCAGATCTTGTCACAAGATAGGCTACCTGTCAGATCTCGACACACGATAGGCTACCTGTCCGAGTTGTACGACTAAAAACTATTGCGCATCTAATGAACATGATAACGGGCGTATATGCAATTTTCGTAGATTGAGTAATACTTTATTTTATGATTGACAGCGTATTTCTAATCGTCGCTGCTTGTTGGTGTTATTAGCAGTTGTAAGCAGTAAGTTAGACAGCTCCGTTGTGGTCAAACCACCCATGGTCAATGCGCTTCTGTGGTCAAAGCTCCTATGGATAAATCCCTTGTGGCTAAAGCCCCTATGGTTAAAGCACCTGTGGTCAAAGCACCTAAAGCCGAGCTGAGGCACCCAGGCAATAGGTACTCATCTTACACTAAAGTGCTGCGACGACTCACCCTGCAGGTTCGGAGACAAAGATGGCCGTGGCGCAGGTCAAGATGAGGGCCAGCAGAAGGACGAGCATGCTGGACAGAAGCATCAGACAAGTTCTGACCAATAATCCTGAGGCTTTGTGTCTTGGGATACCGACTCAGTGTCTTTCAACTGCTGACTTGAAAATGTCCAAATTGCGGACAGCTATATAAAAAAAAAAGAAAAAAAAATATCTTCATATATCTAGCAGCAGTGTAAGGAGAGGCAAAAAAAAATATTTTGAAAAAAGGTTGGAAAAACCCCAGATAATTAGTAAACTAATTAAATTTTGAAGTGGTTTTATATTTCATCGGAGCTAGATCAACTAATTATGAAGTTTATTTTTAGTTGTGTTGGTTTAGTGTTTTAGCAGTTTAGTAATTCAGGATATCTGGCCTTTCTTCGGAAATTTGATCTGGCGTTCTCCCTTTCTTTTACCACCAACAGACATTAAAAGTCAGAGATATCTTTCTATTTCTAGCAGAAAAAATTTAATACAAACACGTTTGGCTTTTAGCTATAAAAATAATATTACCTAGTGCGGCTGATTCCTTTTAAGTTGTCTCCTAACTCCACACCACAATCATCACTCAAGTCTGGCTCACGTCTGCCAGTGAATTTTTATAACTTGTTTTGAACTGAGCAGTGCCAGGCTACATATAATAAATGTTATCAGTTAAAACCAGAGAAAAGTCGTCCCTTAGGAAAGCAGAAGCATTAAATAACTATCAGGTCTATTTATAGGCTCACTTGGTCAGCTCCTACACCTGGGTGTTAGCTCAAACATGTGACCAAGTCTCCAAGACCACATGTTTATACCCCCGTACCGCCCCCACATCTGACTGCTGAATAAAAGCACTCAACAACAGCCGCACAAAACAAGCGCGAGACTTGGGAAGCGTTTTTCTTCTTTTGGTGAGGGCTGGCAACTAGCGGCACTGGAGCTGTTGACTACAGCGTTTGGACAGTGATGGGGGGGGGGGGGGGGGGGAATAACGGCAGGGTACCGCGCAGTATTTAGCTGCTCAAGTGTTTTTTTTTTATTTTAAAAGTTAACATTATATTTAAATGTAATTAGACAGAAAGGTTTTTATAATAATGAGAGATATGACGAATAATTAGAAAGGCAATATTCAGCTGTTCTAATGTTTTTTATTGTAAAAGTTAACACATCATTTAAATGCAATTAGACAGATAGGCAGAATTCAGCTGTTCTAATGTTTTTGTTTTTAAAAGTTAACATATAATTTAAATGTAATTAGACAGAAAGGTTTTTATAATAATGAGACATATGACAGAGATGGCCACCACCACCCCCCAACTTCCCAGAGGCGTAGCGACCCTTCCCGGCGCCCGGGGACATACTTTCGATTTGGCGCCCCCCTCGGGAGCAAATTTTCGATTTGCGCCCCCCCCCCCTCAAACTTTCGTTTTGCACCCCCCTCGAACTTTTGATTTGCACCCCCCTCACACTTTCAATTTGGCGCCCCCCTAAGGTCGGCGCCCGGGTACATATGTCCCCCCGTCCCCCCCCCTCGCTACGCCTCTGCAACTTCCACATACACACATACACACATAAATCATATAATATAATACTTGTAATAGGTTTAACAATGTCTGGTAGAATATGGTTTAAATTGCTAACAACGGATGGCGAGTTTAGAGAAGAGATGGAAACATCAAATGTCCCCGTCATTTGATTTGTTTTCAAACATGCAAGCTGATTTTATCAGGCTTGCAAGCATGTCTTCATAAGATGGCTTTAAGTTGATTGGTTTATGTGTAGGCCGTTCATCTAAAGACCCGCCAATGTGTAGATTCTGCGTGTTTTCTATAAGATCCGTGTTGTGTTCTGGAACGTAATTGTTCACCAAACAGTAAAGTTCCAGCTCCAGGAAGTTTACTTGCCCGGGTCATTGAACGACGCAATACGTCACTGTCTTTTTACACCTACGACAAAATGGCGCTTGTCACGGCATCTCCGAATAGGGATATTTTTATTTGAAGAAAGTTTCAGTTCAAGGACTGATCAACAAGCTGATTAAAATTTGTCATTCAGCACAATCAAATTATTCAGTGTAAAAAATTGTGTAATTTGGGATATTTATAATGTTATCTAACACGGGAGTGGGGTGGGGGTAGGTAGGCCTATACGTTACAACCTATAATTTAATACCGACTTTGATCTTTGAAAGGGTGGGTGGTGGTCTATGGGAATGTGATAGACCTACAACATGGCCTATATGCAGGGGTGGATGGATGTTCTATGTATTGGCTGGGCTGCTATAGCTAACATAGAATTATGTATGTGCACGATGTCTTAAAATATGTAAACATTAAATGCCTTATTTTATATAACAAACCCTATATCTGCTATCTGAATAATTCTTTGAAAATGTAAGCTCTTTGTTCTACTGAGGCTAAAGCATACCTGGTCTTTTCAGTAATGAGTTATACAAAACTCAGATAGTTTTTAACAAATATAGTTTTAATATATGTCATTGTGGAATCGATATTCCATAACGCAGTAAATAGACTAAACTTAATCTTAAAAACTGTTATACAGCTTTTTGTGGGGACATCATTCTCTTTTGCAGCGCACATCAGTTGGTGATTTCAAAAGACTCAAGTTAGAGCAAAGTACACAACTGGTCTCATTTGTTGGCTCCCTCGTCCTCTAGACGGGAGCGTCACAATACGGACATGAACAATGGTCATTAGAGCCCATCGGGCCGCGCGCGTTATGTAGTGGATCTCAAGCTGTCATGTCCTGCCTCGATCTGGATCGTGGCCAGACTCCGCCATATTGTGGGCTGCGGAGTTTTACACTTCGATATACGTTTTGGCACACGAAGCGAATTCCACAAAAACTATAAATTTTAACAAACATCGGGGAGGCTAATTTTGCTTATAAAAGCTTTTATTTAATTCGCAACGTCTGTTTGTGGGTTTGCGGCAAATCTTGTAACTAAATTTTGACCCACTTATAATGCAGCGATTTCTTTCACATCTTCTAGGTACGTTCCATTTCGATGATAATACAAGTCTATCTATTCTTTAATTTAATTAGATGTTAATTCTTCATTAAAAATCAATGAATCTGTTTCGAAAGTAAGGGGAGATAACAAAATAAAATCACTGGATAGATTACTATATTCAATAATAGAAGGGGAGATAACTAGCTAGACGCGATCACCCTAACAGTCTGGTGAGCTGTAGTTCACGAGAATGTTTATAATAGAAGAGACGGTCGATCTAGTGAAGGATGTTAGGGGCAGATAGTTAAGTTTTAAAATGAAATGAAACTAAGGCGAGGTAGCAAGATGAAGAGCTATCCTTAGCTCTATCAATTGCTGTTGTCTGAAAATTGTGGTCACGGACGGCTGCTTTTCACGGGGCAGATAATCGTCTTTTTAGAAATCGCGAGCTGGTATTTTAAAGCAAATATTTTTAGTGAATCACCAAAAAGTAGAGAATAAAACAAATTAAAAAAAAAACCCTTACAGCAACAAGCTTTTAAATGCACTGAAAATAAGAAAATAAAACTAAAAGCTTTAGTCGGTAAAATATGTAAAACATCTCACGAGAGGCTAAAGCTTATATTAAAGAAAGCAAAGAAGTTATATTTTCTTATTTTCAGTGCATTTAGAAGCTTGTTGCTATAAAGTTGTTTGTTTTTTAATACTTGTTTTAAAAATATGAATATTTTAAAAAAGCAACAACACATTTTTCATTGATTCCCACATTCAAATAGAAAATGAAACGTATACTTTGTCGAGTTTATAATAAAACTAGATTTAATTTAGGAATGTGTACAATCTTTCATGTGTTTCAGATCTCTAAAACACATTGGGGATAGCTCAAAACAGTCTGGGAACCATCGGTTGCATGATAACAATAACTTCCCGAAATCCTGCTTTCTTTGGTTCACATTTCCTTTCCTGGTTATTTAGAAGCAGGAACTGCTCGGCCGCGGCAAAAGTTCAAGCAATCAGCAGACGCAGACCTGCGTGGGAGTGACTCGTTCGACACGGGAAAAAAGCTTCCGCATTTTTAAAAAACTCAGACAATTTTTTTTCCCCCCATATCCCAAGGCATTAAAGAACTTTTTTTTTTTTTACTTTTGTTTGTACACATTAGGTAATGACCATGTTTTCCCCCTTAAAAAATGACAAACAAACAAATAAACAAAAAATAAGGTGTCCAAACGTGATGTGAACAAACTGTTTTCGACAAACATTTTGATACAAGTTGAAAAATAAACCCCAAAAAGTGAACGTGGTTATACATAAAGCATTTTGTGTTGAGATGGTGATCAGTGTTTCTTCCAGACTTTTTTCTCCGGGGGGGGGGGGGGGGGGGAGGGGCACTTGAAATTTTCGGGGGGGGGGGGGCGGTAGACTTTCTTCGGGGGGGGGGGGGGAGGCGGTAGAATTTTTTCGGGGGGGGGGGCTTTGGAGATGCCTGGAAGAAACTCTGATGGTGATGCTTAAAGTGCTGGCAGGACATTTGGTAGTGGGACGTGATATGTTGGTGGTGAGACATTTAATGGTGAGACGTTTGGTGGTGAGACAGTGGCGTAGCTAGGATTTTCGGGCCCCTATGCAAAAATTATCAGTGGGCCCCTTCGTCAGCCGTCAGGCTACAATGGAGTTAAACGAAGAAATCAACTGCTGCTTAAGGGCATGGGCGGGTGATGAGTACCAACTTTCTTATTTCCGAGTCTAAAGATGTAATACTTGGCTAATAGTTATAACTCAAAGAGTTAAGCATAAAAATATTTTTTTTAATTTTTTAAATCTTGCGTTGCCATGGTGACGGCGGCCATATTGGATTTTATTGACGATTTTTAAATGGAAATAACTCAAAAATGGTTTGTACAAATTTCATGAAAACTTAATATAGTCTGCAGACACATGTGTTTAAGACTTCTGATAGATTACATTTTCAAAAAAGAAAATAGTTATTTTTTTACTTTTTTTTTTCAAACATCACTGTAAAAATTTCATTATTTCGTCCAATTTTTTCACTATTTCAACAACAAAAAATTTTTTTTTACAAAAATTCCAAAAGTGTTCTATCAGTTTTATTTGAACATATATAAAGAGTAACTGGAGCAAATTTAGTTCAGTTCTGATAATTATTAACAAAGTTATTTCAACAATTGTACAAAAAAACATCAAACTGAGAAAAACGCAAAAAACTAACAAAAAGTTGCAAAAAATGAAAATTTATCGCTGTATGTCACTAAAATCGACCACATTTATAGCCTGAAGTTTGGTGCTGCTGAATATATTCCTTCTGAGCTTGTTCGGCTGTTAGTTTTATTTTTTTCTGGCGCTCTTTGTTTTACCTAGAGTTGTAGTAAAGCTGTTGTCATGGCGTCTTTTTTCGCGTCCTTCACTGAGTCTTCGACTATGGTTTCCTTCTTTTGACAGCAATGCCATAGCATGCCTGGGCCCAAAATTGAATTATGCTATCGCAGAAACAGAAGTATATTTTGCATGGTCTCATGTCTAAAGCCAATTATGATAAGACGATGTCTTTGTTTATTGTGAAAGGCCTTGTTCTGGATTCTTTTGCAGTTGTATACTTACGGTTTACAACATTTTTATTACTGCCACACCATGCTTGAAGCAAACCCTTTACACTTTTTTCATCAATAGTAGCCACTACATCACATGTATTGATAACATCAAGAAGCAAATCACAGTCGACAATAATTCTGCATGGCTGTGGTTTACAATTAGTACTACCAGTACGAGATGTAACAGTGCTTTCTTCTGTCTGTAAAAACTGTGTCTTACATTGCCGCAGTTTCTTAGTAAATGTGCATATTACATCTGCACCAGTGCTTGTCTGAATAGTGCTAGATTGAGTGGAGGTAGCTGCAATCAGTTGCATTCGGACGTGCCCTAGCTTTAGTAAATTAGTTAGATGTGTGTAGTGTATCTATTTTTAGCGAGTGTTTTGTTCTACGCATTATCGAAAGAGAAACAAATTAAATCGCCTCACTGCTTATGATAATTCACACAAACTAATCTAAACTGTTAATAGTATATTTAATTGAAATAATTATATGTTAAAATAATGTAAGTATTTTACAGAAGCTTAGAGAAACAAAACTAGATCAAACTTAGCAACGCGCTGAAACTAAGGGAATGTTTACTTACGAAGCGAAACGACCAATCGCTAACTAGCTTCCGCCGCCGTATGCCAATGAAAAAATTGAGGTCAAAAATGTGCATACCGGAAAAACCCGACTGAGTAAAATAAACAACTTTATGACGTAGAAAAATAATCACATTAAAATAGGTATTTTGATTGGTCATTTAATTTTAGAACAAATAAAGAAAGGAGGTCACGGCCTTTCCATTGATATGAAACACATTAGGTTTCCGCGAAGCCTAATAGTACTTTTCTAGGTCGAAAAATTGCTATTTTTACTAAAAAATTAAACAAAAGACCCTGTACACACTACATTGAACCCGGATTTTCATAATTAAATACTAATTTTAGGGTCATAACAATGTCATTTTTAGATTCAACGATGGTTATTCTGTATAGATCAAGTAAAAGTGGGAAATCGATGATTTAGTGGATTTATGACGAAAAGTACACCCGCCCATGCCCTTAAGAATGAGGATTTTAAATAATAAATCAATATTCTTTAGGGCCTACATTTTATAGGCCTATCTGATATTTCCTGATTGTGTATTTATACTATATTATTATGTAGTTTTGTAAAAATGTTACAGTCTTACAGTTTATTTTTGTAAGTAAACAAATAGAGGAGCGTCTTAGGCGGGGTCAGAGGTGCGGTCCGCATCGGATGTCAACATTTAGGTGTTACACCATGACAAAATATTGTACAATTTACCGTCAAACTAAGTTGTATCTAGCTAAAATAATAAAAGATTAGTGACAAATGTTAAAACATGCAACATATTTTTACCCCCACACATCGAACATCACAAAAACCTCCGCCCCCCCCACTTTCCCCAGCGTTTCTTCCACTTTATTCGCCGGGGGGGGGGGGGCACTTGATATTTTCGGGGGGGGGGGGGCGATCAATATTTTCCGGGGAGGGGGGGGGGGCGACACACACACTGGTAAAACTATATGTTTTCTATATAAATTCCATTTCGTTCGGGGGGGGGGGGGGGGGCGAAGAGATGCCTGAAAGAAACTCTGCCCCCCCCCCCAACCGGCGTTCTTCGTGGGCGGCGCATCATTCTGCAATAAAGATACTCAAGGCCAACTTCTACATTACCAACCCCAGTAAAGAAACTTGGCCAACCTGTACTTTACCAACCCCAGTAATGAAGAGATGGAATTTTAAAGTTTGTTTTTAAATGATTTACTTCTACTATAAATGAATAAAGGCCTACATATTTAAAAAAAAAAGCTTCTCAAATAGGTGTGTCTCCTAGATGTAGAAGACATCATTCATTAACAAGTCCATAGGTATAACCAGTGCCTGATCAATTCATTATCATCTGAACAATGACATTTTAATTATCATGCTGTTCATTTACTTCCCCTAGTTCAAGCAGAACTGTCAACAAAAGAATGACAGATGATGTCAAGATGTTTAGGTAATGATTGTCATCTCTATGGTGATATCCAGTAACATTGGTTAATTAATATTTGAAGCTCTAAATTAATCAATCAGTTAATTAACTTTGACATCTGGACCAATTAAGACAAAGATGATTATTTTTATAAAAAAAGCACTTTTATCTGGAACAATTAATGATCAGGTCATTGATAGGTAGGTTGTTCTCAGAGGTCATTAATGTTGTGTGAACTCATTTGCACACAACTACCAGCATTCTAAGTGAAATATCCTTGAATCTCTAAATTCATACATTGAAATTGAAAATAAAAATTCCACACAACAGTTTTCTTGTTTTTATTACAGAAGTATAAAATTGAAGTAAATTCAATATTGGATATATTGCACAAGTCTTTACATGAAAATAAAGAAATATAAAAATAGTGAATTAATCAATCTTTATTGCATACATGATAAAATAATTTATATGTTAAGTATACATAATCATTAAGGCAAATGTAATGAGCAACACAATTATTTTTCTTCACAAGGAGAAAATTGTAAATGTCATTTACATTAAAAATCTAACATTAAAAACAACATGAACAGGACAGAATCAGGGTTGCTAATGCTGAAAATTTTTATCTTTATTCTGTCTTACCCAAATCATGACTACACTATACCACCTGTTTTTGCTTGTATCACATGATTCAACTGTTATCCAAACATTATCACCTGCATTGTAAAGCAGGTGGATTTATCAAATGGTCCATATTATCACCTGTATAAAGCAGGTGGAATCATTAAATGGTCCATATTATCACCTGCATATTAAAGCAGGTGGATTTATCAAATGCCACATTATCACCTGCATATTAAAGCAGGTGGATTTATCAAATGCCACATTATCACCTGTATAAAGCAGGTGGAGTCATCAAATGGTCTAAATAAGCATCCAGGTAGATGAGCAGCTGCCACAGGTCTGATGCTATGTGAACCACTACGTCTGTGGGCCGCGGTCTGACACTCAGCAGCAGGTGATGGTGTGGGGGTAAAAAAAACATGTAGTGGTCAACGGGGCCATAGTCCTCCTCGTCATTGCTGACACCAGCACAGCTAGAACCTTTGGAGAAATGAGAAACAGTTTCATTTGGCAGGCTCTAAATAAAGCAGACTATTTGTATTCAACTCAAAACATCTTTAATATTAAGTTTTTTTCTAGCCATTGTAGCCTGGATAATAATATATGCTCTGAGATGGTAACTTATTTCCCTTTCATAGCTCTCTAGGAAAATAAAACAATTTTTTTCTACTGGCTAAAACATTTGAACATGTGACTGGATCATTCTCTTTCACTGGTAACAGAAACATAAACAAAAAGAACTATTTACTTTCACAACTAAACTGTACATTTCTTTTTAAATACAATTAGCATCTACATACTACTGGATATAAATCCATTTTTCCAAACTTGCATCAAACTGTGCCGAGAACATTTGAGTATCTTCACAGATTCCACACCCATGCTGGTAGATATATTTTAAAAGATTTTAATTTCTGTGCGGAACAATTGTTCACATGATGCTAAATTGTAGACATACATGATTTTTAAAGTGATCTTACACTTGAAATGTATAACTAGTTTGATGTTTTATTTTCATTATACCAATTTTAATTGAGATTTAATTTTTATGTGAGTACAAAAGTTCTAAAAATAACATCATTAACTTACTATTTATCTTTTGACTTCTGACAGTAATTATTCCAATGTAAACTGAAAAACTTCTGCTTGTCTGTGATATTAAAGACATGCCAAGGGAATGGCAGTAAAAAATCTTTGAGCTCAAATTTTAAAGGCGTCAAGTCACATTCATAAGTAGACCTCTGGTACCCAAACACTGCCCTGAGAAAATTGAAATAAAAACTTTAACCTACTTTAATACTTCAGTCAATATGTTTCTTTCATCTCAACATCAGTAGGGACCTATAGCTAGTAGGCAGTATTCATGTAGGGATCTATAGCTTGTGGTCAGTACTCATGATGGGACCTATAGCTTGTGGTCAGTACTCATGTAGGGACCTATAGCTTGTGGTCAGTACTCATGTAGGGACCTATAGCTTGTGGTCAGTACTCATGTAGGGACCTATAGCTTGTGGTCAGTACTCATGTAGGGACATATAGCTTGTGGTCAGTACTCATGTAGGGACCTATAGCTTGTGGTCAGTACTCATGTAGGGACCTATAGCTTGTGGTCAGTACTCATGTAGGGACCTATAGCTTGTGGTCAGTACTCATGTAGGGACCTATAGCTTGTGGTCAGTACTCATGTAGGGACCTATAGCTTGTGGTCAGTACTCATGTAGGGACCTATAGCTTGTGGTCAGTACTCATGTAGGGACCTATAGCTTGTGGTCAGTACTCATGTAGGGACCTATAGCTTGTGGTCAGTACTCATGTAGGGACCTATAGCTTGTGGTCAGTACTCATGTAGGGACCTATAGCTTGTGGTCAGTACTCATGTAGGGACATATAGCTTGTGGTCAGTACTCATGTAGGGACCTATAGCTTGTGGTCAGTACTCATGTAGGGACCTATAGCTTGTGGTCAGTACTCATGTAGGGACCTATAGCTTGTGGTCAGTACTCATGTAGGGACCTATAGCTTGTGGTCAGTACTCATGTAGGGACCTATAGCTTGTGGTCAGTACTCATGTAGGGACCTATAGCTTGTGGTCAGTACTCATGTAGGGACCTATAGCTTGTGGTCAGTACTCATGTAGGGACCTATAGCTTGTGGTCAGTACTCATGTAGGGACCTATAGCTTGTGGTCAGTACTCATGTAGGGACCTATAGCTTGTGGTCAGTACTCATGTAGGGACCTATAGCTTGTGGTCAGTACTCATGTAGGGACCTATAGCTTGTGGTCAGTACTCATGTAGGGACCTATAGCTTGTGGTCAGTACTCATGTAGGGACCTATAGCTTGTGGTCAGTACTGATGTAGGGACCTATAGCTTGTGGTCAGTACTATACACAGAGATAGTTACTAGCCCGATTTGACGTATGAAGATTTCGGTTGACTTACCTGGCATGAAGAGACATTGGCAATGGTGCTTTAGGGGACATCTTGCACAGGACAGACTTTGGAGCTGCAGTTAAAGACAAACCAACACTGGATTTAATGTTGTGTTTTTTACATTGTTCTCTATAGGAAAGCAATCTAGATATTATTATTTTAAAAATCTGGAGTTTTGTAGAAATATAAAAAGTACAATAAAACTTACCTGCTTTGTCAAGATAGGGAACACAGACATCTGGAAAACAACATTAAACTTATCAACAATCACATCACTTAATTATAAGCTGGATATCACACTGACATGTAACTAAGCTAATAATCCAACAGCATAGTAGGTTTACATCCTTTTGTGTCTGCTGATACTTTAATACAATCTATGTCATATAGTCTATAGGAAGTATTTTTGTCTCAATTACTGGATGCCAAAGTTTTAATCTTTTGACATTCCAGTCTTGCCAATCATACCAAAGTTCTGATAGACCAAGTTGAAGCAACGACCAAAAACAATGTGACGTCCATATGGACTCATGCTGCCTTTCAAACATACAGTCTCAGTCAGAGGTTTGTCACATGACCTACTGTGTCACATGGTAGAGAGCTAAAGTAAAGCATCACTTGTGGCTGGAGTTGACATTATACTGCTTGGACTACTTACCACCACCAAGAACTAAATTTGTGTTTTCAGCCAAAACAAAGGAGACTGCCAACAGATGGTCATAATCACTGTCTTTGTTCTGTAACAACAAAAAGGGAAAGAGAATTCATGACAAGGTTGATATTGAAGTTAAGTTTACTAGACTAGTTATTTATGATGTACTTACCAAGTTGACTTTTAACTGACAAATGAATGATGTTTTTAGGCATGATAATTGTTTCCAGTAATCTTCCAGTCCTTCTGAGAAAAAAATATTAATTCAATGATAAACAAATAAAGCCAAAGAAACATTTAAAATTATTTACTTTAAAAATAAAGTTATTTCCCTTGAATGTTATTAAAAAAATATTTGCAGCAGAGATGTCACTTATAAAGCTGTTTTACCTGTAACAGGTGGGGGGTTAAAAGTGCTCACTGTACTGCTGGTCATCTCAAACTCTGCTGATAACTCTTCCCTAGAAAGACAATAGAAATTCAGAAATGATAAATGTAGCAGGTAAAAAAAAAAGTAAATTTTAATGAACAGCAAATATTTGTACCTGTCCCATTCAATAGGTTAGCATGAAAGCAAATATTTCTACCTGTCCCATTCAATAGGTTAGCATGAAAGCAAATATTTCTACCTGTCCCATTCAATAGGTTAGCATGAAAGCAAATATTTCTACCTGTCCCATTCAATAGGTTAGCATGAAAGCAAATATTTCTACCTGTCCCATTCAATAGGTTAGCACGAAAGCAAATATTTGTACCTGTCCCATTCAATAGGTTAGCATGAAAGCAAATATTTGTACCTGTCCCATTCAATAGGTCAGCATGAAAGCAAATATTTCTACCTGTCCCATTCAACAGGTGACTGCTCTAGAAATGAGATCACAGCTGGGGCAGCTTGGATGACAGAGCCTATAAATAAAAATTCTAGTCAGGTAAGAAAAACAAAAGTAAAATTTTGGAAGAAATCAGCACCAATATTCTACTTTAATATGATTCCTATAACACTTCAATAACAGGTGATGTGACATTCTGAGTAGTGCCTGAAAAGTTCTCTCTTCTTTATCTCATATTTCTCTTGTTTTAGTGAAAACTTTCCAGAATATGGAAATAACCATTCTTAGTGAGTTAAAAATCTTCTGATTTTATACAGGGGACATGACTTCAATATATTAATAAGTAATTACATCATACTTAAATGAGAGCACTATAAAAAATGTTTACTTTTGTAACACAATGGACCAATAAAAAACATATTTTGTTTTTAAAAAATGAATTTCTCTAAAAGAAATTTGTAATTATTAAGAACTCACCAGGGAAAAAATCAGCAATATTTTCACCAAGATGAATACCTTCAATAAGGGTTGCTCCAATGATTTCTTTAGCCTAAAAAATAGTTGTTACATTATTAATTTCCTGATGACACACATGTTGGTTAACGATGTAATGTTAGTTGTCTAACCAAAACACAGAAAGACGAGAGCCTACCTTGACATCACTGTTCAGTGTAAGTAGAGCATAGTAGAACCTGGCATGGTCCCTGATATCACAGTCACTGTACGTGTTCATCATAAAACACAACAAGTCTCCCATCTCTGTACCAACACAAAAGTTTAAAAAATTTGGAAGTTTATTTATTTATTTATTGTGAATTTTTATAGAAAACTGTGATGATAAATTTAAGCAGACAATAGTACAGAATGTGGGCAGAAAATAATTGTGGAACATACAACTTTTTTTCATTGCTACCCATTAGTTTTTGTCATACTATAGTGGGTGGAAATTCTATTCTTGATTAAGTCTTTCTAGCTCTATAACAGTCTTTAACAATGATATAGTGCATATAAGCAAGCTAAAAAATATTAATATAATATAATCATGAGCACTTAGAATATATTTCAAGCCTACTGTTTCTTTTAAACTTACAAGCTGGTAGAATTTGTTGCTGACACAAAAGATGGTTAGGTAAGTAGCCCATATCTTGATGTGTAGCCCAAGTCCTGTTTTGTTGGTTGTAGCATTCACATGTCATTGGCTATCTGTTTCTTCAGCAATGAGATAAATAGCTACAACGTTTAGTGAAAGTGAAGCACTTACGTGGATACAAGATGTCTGTATGATGGTGTAGAATCATTGTCCGGCAAATACTCAGCACAAGACAGCCCAAGGCCCAGTCATCTAAGGCATTCACTTTAGCCTCACTGACCAACTCTAGCAATCTTCTTATTGGCTTCTGTGGGTTATACATTTTTTAATCTAAAGCAAAAATGTTATAAAACATTAAAACGTTTTTAAAAACAAAATAATGGAATGAGCATAACTTGAAATAGCCAGCATGGTAGTCAATGATGGCCCAAGACATTGGCAGGACAGAAAATGACATGTATGCCAACCCTGAGCTTGTCTATGGTAAGATGACAGCTCCAAAAGAACAAAATACAAAGCCTAAGATAGATACCAAAGGGTGATTACTGTTACAACAGAAATAAATATAAAGCCTATAGTAGAAATTAAGGGAGATGGCAGCTCCAATAGGACAAAATATAAAGTCTAAGAAAGAGACTAAATGGAGATTACTGCTCCAAGAAAACAAAATACAAAGCCTTAGGTAGACACTAAAGGGAGATGACTACTCCAAGAAAACAAAATACAAAGCCTTAGAGACTAAGGGGAGATGACTGCTCCTATAGGAAAATACAGTCCATTTCTCACCTGCTGTAGCATGGAGGCATCTTGTGCTGAGAGAAAAAACACCTGCAGATAGTTGTTGTAGTTATCCAGCAAGGTGTTCATGTCCAGTGTCAGAACTGTGTCATGTAACAGGGACAGGATTTCCTTGTGTAGAGCACTTGATGATTGAACGAAAACTTTAATTTTACGCTGCAACTACTTTTTATTTTATTTTTACACTCCCATCACTTGAGGTGAAAAGAAAATTCTAATTTTAATTTTAAACCAAATTTACTTACGAATGTGGTTGATTAGCCTTAACAGCACGTAAGAAATCTACTATCACAGGAATCAAGTGAGGGAAACTTTTGAACAGTTTTTTGGTTATCCTGAAATGTGAAATAGATACGCAAATGTGAAATAAATTGTGTTCGTTTGATATGCAATTTAAAAATACGTTTCAACAATGTGCTTATTTAAAATTTTATAAATAACTAGCGTACCCGTCCCCCGCGCGTTGCCGCGGGGATAGAAGTAATTTTGGCGAAATGTATTAGAAGGATTTCACTAACGCGTTACCAATCACATGTTCTTAGACGCGTGACCGTCTTTTCTAAAAGTCAGTTATTTAAATGTAAATAATGCCTGCGCTTAAATAAAAAATATCGGGACACGGGTTTACCTACACTACCGCATGTAAACATTGAGTGTACATTAATCACTCACCGAAATAATGTTAGAACACACTTCGGTGACCGCCCATGTGTCAGAGACGTAGAGGGGCGCTCTCAGGGCCCCCACCCCCCGATTACACTGCCGTATAGACGCAGCGTACGACCCCTGGCTCCTTAAAAGTAACAGGCGCCATCGTGCCAAATAGCATCATGTGAACAATGATGCAGATTTCGTCATTCGCTACAGTGACACAAATGAACAGGATTTTTTTCTTTAACACGTAAAAAAGTATTTGACGTGTTTTAAACATCAGTGTGACTGATGCAATATGCTAGCGTTACTAATGGTCTATTATTAGATGCTCGATCTCAATTTCTAACTGGATTGTCTAATAATAGGTGCTTATTGCATCAATCGCAAAGTGACGAAACTCTACAGTAGGCTCCTCATATTTAAAAAGTTATTTTTTCATCTTTCGCAAGGGGACGAAACTGTACAGAAGGATTTCCTCGCGTTACAAAGTTATTTTTAGAAGCCTGTTGTAGTTTTACCGCTGAATATAGTAGTACCCCTTACTCGCTATGCAGGACACTCGATTAACGGATGCCAAGTGCCAACTTAGGCGCTCTAAAACTCTGGGCGTCAAACCGTGTATTGACGAAAATTGTACCCTATATGGCGCCGCCCATAAGAAACTTAAGTTTTCTTTATCGCAGAAATATTCTCGGGAGTATTCTCATCTACTCCCTAAAGTTTCATGGCACTCGGATGAACCGCATCCGAGTTATATTTTTTATATACCGTGTATAGAGAAAAAAAATCGCTCCCCCCCCCGGGTGGTGCGCCGCCCTTGCAATAGTAAACAAATTTTTTTGCGCCGTCCTTGAGAAATTAATAGAGGTTTTTTTTTTTTTACAGAACCCTTCCCTGAATTGTTCTAATCAACTCCCCCAAAGTCTCATGGCTATCGGATAACGGTGTCACACCAAAATCGACTTATTTTTAGAAACCGTATATAGAGAAAAATCGCACCCTCCCGTGGCGCCGCCCTTGCAAAATTAAAAATGATTTTTTACAGAACCCTTCCCTAGTTTTATAATGAACTCCCCAAAGTCTCATGTCTATCGGATAAACGGTGTCACTGCAATTCACTTTTATTATTTTTATATACCGTAAATAGAGAAAAATCGGACCCTCCCGTGGCGCCGCCCTTACGAAATTAAAAATTTATTTTTTTACAGAACCCTTCCCTAGAGTGGTATAATGAACTCCCCAAAGTCTCATGGCTATCGGATGAACAGTGTGAAATCAAAATAGACTTTTATTTTTATATACCGTATATAGAGAAAAACAAATCGCGCCCTGCCGGGGCGCCACCCCTGCGAATTTGAAATTTTTGTTTTCGCAAAAACCTCCCCAGGAATAATCTCAACAACTTCCCAAAGTTTCACAGCGATGTGATAAGAGGTGTAGTAATGCATAAAGGACAGACACACAGACACACAGACATACATTGCTTTATATATATATATAGATTAGCTTAACGCTAAAATATCAAAATATATCTGACTATGGAAGTTTTTTTTAGTTTTACAAAAATATAAGCCAGACCTCAGGACATTGGTGTGTACGTCTTGAGTGTTGATTTTAACATGGAGAAACAGAAGGTGAAACAGGAGGCTGGTGACTCTAGCCCCACCCGTAGTCTCAGCTAACTGCTTGAGGTAATGTAGGTCAGCAGAGAGATCTGGTCAGGACAAAAACATGCTACCATCAACACTGTAGCCTCAAGCCTTTTATTAGGAGGTTATACAGACTAATTATAAATCAGAGGTGTGTTCTAGAATTTAAGCCCACCCAGCTTAGATGGGTACCTGGCTCATGTTGGGGAACTTAGAGGCATGCTTGACATAGTATTGACAACATTTTCCATGTCAATTTCAAAGTGTAAAAAAAAAAATGAACTTTATTCATGTCTCAGGCGATGCTCATGTACTTTAATCAACTTAAAGAGATGTAATGTGCTAATTGCTTGAACCAACCAGCCAATGAAAGTAAAATGACTTAAGTCAAACAGCTCACCTCTGCCCTGACTGTCTGCACCAAGACCTGACCCCAGTAGAGTCAGTTTACAGAAGTGTAGGTCCAGTGGGTCAAACACAACTGGCCGCATGTCTTTGGCTAAACTGTTGAGACCACTTTTCTTCTGGTCCTGGGGAAGGAAGAGGTGTGCAGGTATTTAGCAAATGATCTTGTTAACAGACATGCATAAAATAATTTTTATCAGATGGAAGGAAAAACTAATATCACATTTGACAAGCCCAAACTTTGACAACCAACACATGCTGTTAACTTGGACTTACGATGTATTAAACATAGGAAAGTAAACCGAGAATCCATTTTTATAAGCATCTAAATCATCCTCCTGTGGGAACTAGGTGTTCAGTTATTTCAGACTATGAGGTTATTGTTAGGTTAAATGTGAGAAATACTTACATCCTGCAGGTATAACAAAATACACTACAGTTGGTAATAATTACATCCTGCAAGTGTGACATATACATAGTAGGTGCTAATACTTACATCCTGCAGGTATGATGAAATACATAGTAGATTCTAATACTTACATCCTGCAGGTATGATGAAATACACTGACATATCAACAGCCGGGTGTAGGACCCTAGATTGGGTTGATTCACACAATCAAGAGCTTTTTTCAACAGTTGTTTTTCTTCACTAGCTGACAGGATTTCTCCCTTAAATTTTTTCTAAAGATGGAATAGCAGTCAGTTTAAGTGGGAGCATTTATCCCTTAAGAAAGTAACGCTCCATTAAAACTAGTTAAAAATTTAGTTGTTCAGTGGAATGTTAATGTACTATCACATAGAAGTTAAAAAAATTAATATATAATTAAAAGAAATTCTATTTATATTCCCTATATTTAAAAGAGTAAAAGTACCTGGAAATGAAGCATTAAAAAGACAATGGTAGGATCCACAACTGACAAATACTGCAGCATTAAAGGCTTGAATATCTGTTGGAATAAAGAAAAGCACTTCTTTAACCTAAGTTAAGTTGTATAGGATTTCTGATTGCTAGCCTCATACCAAGAGTAAAGAGTGCCAGATCAAGGGACACTACTCACAGATGGGGAGATCTCCTGAGAGTTTCTCACTACTTTGGCAACAGCTGAGGCTATGGAGGCGAGGCCAGCCGGAGTTAGAAGGAACATGTTCTCCATGATGTGGGAAACCATGGGCAGAAGTTCCTGTCTCTCTGAGCTTTTCCCTGACACCTACAGCAAAAATATCAATACACAGACATACTGAAATAGCTGCTACTTTGTTTTCTTAAGTAATTAATTTTATTTTTCAATTATGATTTTTTATTTAAGCTATAAAACCTGTTACAAATCTACTATATAGTGAACACTAAAGCTTATATTAAACAAATCTACTTTACAGTGGACACAGATGATTATATTAAACCAATCTACTTTACAGTAAACACAAAATATTTTATTACCATTTTCTTGGAATGTAATTCACTACTGGCTTGCTCTAATTCAGTACTACCAAGTAAAATAATAAAATAAATAATAACATCAATATAGGTATAAAAGTTTTTGGGCTATATGTAAAAAGTACAACATGAAATATAAAAAAAACCTGAACAATGCTCCGTTAAAATTGATCTAAAAAGTGAGGATTCAAAATGCCAAGTAGTAAGTATTACTGTCTAGGATTATAGATAAAAAGATAACATACTTATCTGGATGAGTAATGATGGAACTATATAAGTGCATGTAGTCCTGACACACATCAGTTTTCTCTTCTTTTGCAAGGTTAGCTAATACGTCCTTCCATCGCCATAGTAACCCCTGTTACAAATGAATTGAATACAAGATACATTTAAAACAACCCAATAATTTATCTATTCACTTAATTTTCAATACAACTTTCATGAAATCCTGAGACTTTTTATAATTGTTTTAGTTTATGAAAGACTCTCCATTTAGTTAAATTCTATAACAATGTTTTTACAAGGCAAAAAATTTTTTAGTGTTAGAACATATTTGAGTTGGTTTAATGAATAATTGATTAGGGAGAGTTAAATGTGAAGAAATGCCCAAAAACAATGTTTGACTAAGCATAACTGCAACATCACTCAGTACAAATAACAAACAGTGAAATTTCTTTAGCCTTCATTAAATAAAACAAAACACTAAAAAGTAACTGACAGGCTTCCAGGTGACAAGTTGAACGAGGCACTGACAGCAACTAGCTCTCAGTCTTCTGGTGCTGACATTGTTGGTTTTGGTCACAATTTCTGTCAGCTGATTCACAAACCTCATACACAAATCTGTTTCCTACACAGAAAAAAAATAATTCCTACTATAGATCAAAAATGTAATGGGACATCATTCTAGAAAACCAGAATGTATGGGCTTTGGCAATCAAGCAAGCCCAATTTAATTAGTTTATAATAAATATAAGAAAATCATAAAATGAGTTTGAATTTTGCCAACGTGTCTATTTATATATTTTATATTATCACAAACATTTCACATTTAAGTAAATTTATTTTTCATGATGTCTATAGTTACCAGCAATTCCACATTAACAATAAATATGGTTGTGATGGTAATGAGTAGTTGAGTAGAGACCGGAACAGTGGCTGTGTTAGCTTCTGTATCTTTAAATATATCCAACAGAGCACTTATTGCTTGATCAACACTGAAAATATAGGATTAACCACCAAAATACATCAGTTGTTCAAATGAACAAGTCTACTTTTTAAAAATAATACAATAAATTTTAATTGTGTTTAAACATAACCAGGTCCCAATGTTTTCTTTGCATATGTATTAAATGAAACACATTTCTACATTAACTTTTAACAAAAATTTAATAAAAACCTTTTAAAACATTACAAACTATCATTAATATACCTATTTGTTGGAAGAACGCCACTGCCATATTGTTCAATAACTGTTAAAATTTCAATTTTTACATGAGTGTCCAACGCATCATCATAGATGAGCTGAAAAATAAATTTAGAAATACTATAGACTAAAATATATGTTGTAATTTTTACACATGAAAAAGTTAAAAAAAAAAATTAATTTTTAACATTGAAATGCTTTTCAAGAGTATTATTGACCTATCAAAAGTAACTTCACAAATAACTTCTAGAAAAGTACAAACATGTCTGCCTACAAGATACAAATGAATTGTTTATATAGGATGTAGCATGAGGTATTGATATAAGCTTGACTATGTGTCACTTTAATACACTAACAGGACAAGTGCACAGAAACAGCCACATCACAAGCACAGTACTGGTGTCAAGATAAAATAATACAGCTCTGAATTGCTAATAAAAATAGTTTTCAATGATATACAGTAGCTGAAACAGCACTTAAATTGTTGTGTTTATTTTATAAGATTTGTATATTGTTTCTTTGCTTCCAATTATTTTAAACAACATGATTTAATTTTTACATATATTGTTTTTATCATCAAAATCTTATTTAAAAAGGAAAACAAAATATTGAGGAAAAGAATTTCAACCTTTATCAATTCAAAAATAAAATAGTCATCTTCAAAAAGTTTTGTTGTATTTCCTGTAGAAAGACTAGTACGGATTTTTTCCAAAATTGTTCGACTATCTCCAGTCTTTTTATATTTCTGTACAGACATCTTGAACTTTAATGGAGTTTTAACTTCTATTTAATGCTTAATTCTAGTTAACATCAGTACAAAATGACGAGTAGCTTGATACCTGGGGACAAAATGAGAGATATACATTTTAATTTTAAATAAATGATTTTATACATAGTACATAGTCCTGCCTGCTGAATATACATATTCACATCATATTGCTTGGCATTATTGATATTGGCCTATACTATACTTATAGTTACTAGTATAGTAGGCATGATCTTAATCTATAATATTTATAATAATCATAATGCTATATACTATATATAGGTATGTAATTGTATTGAATAGTTGAACTTGCATACAGTTAAAAATTAATATAGCCTAATCTAAATCTAAATATTAAAAATTATTTAAAATATTGTGTTAGAATCCTTTTTTTCTTCTATTTAATTTTTTCATACCTCACGACTCACACTCAGTCATCACATTCCTCATTCATTCACAGTCACACAGTGTCAGATTCAGAAATAAAAATACGGTCTAGATTCTAGATTCTCTTCTATCTTCCACCATATATAGATTTAGAATCTAGATCTATATATATAGTAGTATTAGTATATAAATCTAGATCTAGATCTAGTATATAGTATAGTTTTAGATCTAGAATCTAGATCTAGTATCTAGGCCTAGTTCAGTTGCTAGTAGATTCTAGAATCTAGATCTAGTAGTAGATCTAGATCTCCAGTAGTATGTTGTGTGTAGGCCAAACAGATTTAAATAATTCAAATTTTTAATTTAAAAGTAGAATCTAGTCTAGATCTAAATCTAATAATTTATAATTATAATATAGATCTAGATCTAGAATTCTAGATCATCTAGTAATAGCGAAAATATTACGATAGGATAACTAATAATAAAACCTGTGATAAAATAATAAAATGGGTGGGGGGAAAATCGTACTTACTCCCCTTACCGGTTTATGTTTACTTTCCAAAAATGTATTATCACATGACATTTATTAATAGCAAAGACTAACTAAATGTCGTGACTCTTTACAACATTGAAATGCAGAGAAACAAAAATTAATAAAGATTATTATATTATTAAGTTTTACAAAATAAGATTTAGAATCTAAATCTAGATCTATTTTAAGTTTGACAGTACGTTAAAAAATGATGAATGGGTTGATATTTCGAGTAGACCCTTTGAATATTAAGCAGAACGAGGCACCGTGGTCTCCGATGACCGCGATTATCCTCGCCTTGTGCAATAACTAACATAACACAGTGATTGTGAACAGCAAACTCATGTCTGTTACTCAAACTGATACCAGTGTCTATATCTAGACTCTAGACTAGATCTACTGGGTAGTGTACACCGGGAGCAAAGCCGGTGGGTAAAGTTAGGCTACTACTAGATCTAGATCTACATCTAGAATCTAGATTCTTTTAATTTTTATTCTAGGGTCAAACCTTAGGCCTTAGTTAGAATCTAGTATTTTTACTATTTAGTATACCGACTATCACTATACCATCTTATTCTTAGTCTTCTAGAAATATAGATCTAGTAAAGGCTAAAGGTATCCAAAGTATATTATTAGTATAAGTAGGCCTATATTAAAGTAATAGTGTAATACTATTACTATTGCTAACTGCCTATTGGTAATCTATCGTTTTGGGTACGTAAAATCGCCCGCGGCTATTAATGTACGAAAACGTTACCTCATTGTCAAGGCTTTAATAGGAGTATATTGTCATATGTTTGTGTCAAATATTATAGATAAATGAATAATAAACCTAAATCAATGGCTAAATATATCGATATAGGCCAGAAATTAACTTTAAACAGCAGTGTCTGAGAGCAAGATTTGCTATATAAACAGCAGCCATTTGTAAAATAGAGTGGCTTCCCCCTGATCTCGCGCTAAAAGCTTATAAAAATAAAACTTAAACAAGATGGCTGCTATAGTAAATGAGCATGGTTGCATCTGTTGGAAACATCGCTAGTCTTCATTTATTACTGAAAAGTTTTAATTCAATTCTTTAAAAACAGGTACATAAATGAAACAAGGAAACATTTTTGTATTTTAAAAAATATAAATCCTCCTCAAAATGTGAAATAATTATTAAAATTTAAGGAGTCACCTGGTTTTCACATTACAAGTCGCGGGCGATTTTACGTACCCAAAACGATAGATTACCCTGCCTATTATATTATTAATAGTAGTCTAGTAATACTAGTAAAAAAAAAAGGCCTACTAACTTTACTAAGATATATAGATCTAGATCTAGAATTTTGTAGATCTAGTATAATTTAAAGTATAACTTACAAGATATAATTATATTATATAATTACTGCCTTACTGTACTGTATTGAGTAAATAGTAAATCAATCATAAATAAAATACATTAAGTAATAGTAGTCTCAACAACAAATAATACCTACACTACAGGAACCAAGTTACCAACCTACTCAAATCAAGACATTTGATTCAACTAACAGCTAACAACTAACAGATATTGATTGAACTGAATATTTTTTTAACCTATTTAATATATTTATTCCAGATTTGTAAAAATGAGATTCAAGTTATTGCAGTTAACTAGGCTACAACAGGTTTCTCCACCAGTGGTGCCAATCATCATTAACATTAACAGGAAGCTTTGTACAAACACCCGAAGTTTGTTGTATTCAAAAAGTGACGTTTTGCAACTAACCTCTTTTCATAGTCAATGTACACAGCTGCTGTATCCATGTGCTGAAACAACATCAGTCCTAATTCAACACAAGAAACTCAGAACTGTGCTGGGAATTGAAACAAGCTGTGATGACACTGGAGCAGCAGTTGTTGATGAACATGGGAACATTATAGGAGAGGCTTTGAATTCACAGTTATCCATTCACAATGAGTAATTTTTTATTGCCATGAACACTTACTTTATGAAATAGTGTATATAGGCCCATAGTTAGCAACCTCATCTGACCCTATATTTTGAACCTAACCACTTTACTGGCATAAAAAAATCCTTTGCTATAGTGATATAGTACTGTTAAGGTTAGTAACCTAATAAATGGGGGGGGGGGGGGGAACATCTTCTGCCTCTATGACAAAGTAATTATTTATTGCTATATCTCAGTGTCATAGGCCTACTCCACAGTAAAGCATACATTGTGAGGAAGGGAAAAAGTTTCCTGTGGTTCATGTAGAAATCTAATGTGTCTAAAATTAAGTTAATTTATCTTTCATAAATATTTCAGAACCGGTGGAATTATCCCAAATGTTGCTAAAGAATTACATTCACAGAATGTTGAACTTGTTGTTCAAAAAGCTTTAGATGCTGCAAACATGAGTGTGCAGGTAAATCTTTTTGTCTTGATTGATTTTTAATGACACTTAAATTCAGATAGTTCAGGTATTCTCTCTTAAACGCTGTGTGAATTATTTATTTTATTTTTATGTGAGAGGAAGCTATTAAAACATATTTTGAAAACTTTATGTTTTATTACAGTTGTTTACATCTGAAAACTAAATAATCTTTTATTTTTTGCTTGCTCTCTATTACTGTAAGCAGTTTGAGTGACAACTTTATCAGCAACATTTGTATGACTTTTTAAATTAATTATAAAGTTTCTGTTTTAAATGGTATACATTGTGTAAAAAACACATGTAGCAATAACATTCAATATTTTGTTTAGGATGTGGATGCCATTGCTGTTACAGTGAAACCTGGGCTCATCATGTCTCTACGTGTAGGTCTTGTTCATGCTCAAAAACTAGCCAAATTGTCCAGGTACATCGGGAAAGAAACATATTTAAAATAAAACTTGTTATTTATTTCTACTAAATACTACATCTTAATAATATTGTTGTTTTAAAAATAGTAATTAAAATGTGTTTACTTTAGGCAATTGTTAATACCAGTTCACCACATGGAGGCCCATGCTCTTACTGCCAGAATGGTTGAGAGGTTAGAATGTCAATAAATCAGTTAAGTTTGGTTTGATATTATGGTACTGCTAGATAGTTTTTATATCTGTATATTATCAATGTTGAACAGAGTTGAACTTTGCTTAATACACCATCTTTAAAACTTGCAATTTTCTACATGATAGCTTTAAATTTTTAGAATTGAAAATACTTCTGACCACACCTGTTCTTATATATTCATAGGATTGAGTTTCCTTTTATGGTGTTACTGGTCAGTGGTGGCCACTGTATACTTGCAATAGCACAGGACATTGATGAGTTTTTGTTACTTGGTTCAACTTTTGACACCTCTCCAGGAGAGGCTTTTGATAAGGTACCACTTTTAGTCATTCACATCAGTAGTCAAACTTAGTCAAAATATGTTCATAGGAAATTAACAAGTTACTTCAGCTTAACTTTTCTAAATAATGTTTTTCAAACATTTTAAAGAAACATTATGTAATTGATATTATTAGATTAGATTAATTATCCCAATGTAAGATGGTGGGTTTAAAGACATAATTATCTTCTGACTAGACTGCCAGAGAGTTGAAATTAAACAAACTAGAAAAGTTCAGCTGCCTCAATGGTGGAACAGCCGTGGAACTGATGGCAAAAGATGGCGACCCTCAGGCTTTCCCTCCTGTTCAAGTCATGACTCAAAGAGCTGACTGTAACTTTTCCTTTACTGGATTGAAAATAGCTGCAAGGAGACAGATCCTGCAAGAATATACCAGACTAGGTAACTTAAAATATTGAAATTTGTTTTACATATATTTACATATTTGATTGTTGGTGCTGAATTTATTTTTTTAAATCTTAGAAATCTTCAAGTGATATCTCTTATTTTTAATTCAGCCCAAACTTAAAGTTATAGAATTAACTGTAATTCAGTCCTGAGTTTTAAAATTAAATTTGACTAGTGTAACTAGCTGAGACTTTTGAAATTTGATTAAATTATTTTAGCTTTGTATAAATATAGGGATACCCCAAGAAGAAGTTCTCCCAAATGCTGCAGATTTGTGTGCTTGGTTTCAGTATAACCTCATCTACCACATAGCCAGACGGCTTCAGCGAGCCTTTGCTTTTGTGGACATGAGAGAACTTCTAGGTGCTAACAAAACATTGGTAAAATATTTGTTTTTTCATTAGTCAATGTTTGAATCTTGGAACATTTCTATTTTATTTCTCCCAGACCTTTATATTTTCACCATTTCATAATGTAAATGTAAAAACTTTGAACTGCACTTTTATTGGCTTTGCCTGTGGGTGTGTCATATTTCTTTTCTCTATTTTTTTCAAGTTCTAAGAAACAAAGGTGAATGTGATACATCATCATCCTGATTGAGCACTAAACAAAAATTAAAAGAATACACTAGGATTAAGCTTGATCAGAGAAAAAGACAAACAACCTTTACAAGTCTCTAATATTTTAATTACCATTTCTTTTTTCCCCAGTGTTTTTAGGATAAATATAGTTTAGTCACAGTAACATTCTGTCAATAAAACATGATGTTTTAGGCAATTTAAAGCCAGTCTCTTGAATGTCTAACTGTATTTGCACACTGATGAGATGTATTTCTGATGACTACTGTGATGTATGTTTGTACTTATAGGTGGTGTCTGGAGGTGTAGCTAGCAATAACTATCTCAGGGAAAATTTGGATTACATTTGTTCGCAGTACGGCTACAGGCTGGTCTGCCCACCACAGAAGTTGTGCACAGACAATGGCATTATGATAGCATGGTAAGTTTAATGAGTTTTTTTTTACTGCAGTTCAAAACTTGAACATGTTTGTGTCAATAATTGTGGTTATCACTATAAAATATCCAGATAAACTGTGCTTTAAACTTTTTTTATGTGGTTTAGACTGTCAGTTAATCTATAAATAACTTACAGTTAAGGCCTTTGTTTTGTTTAATAATACATGTATACAACATGAGGATTAAGACTGGGATCGACTATGTGTCGACTATGTTAAATTGTATTTATGTCCTTGAATGTTTTTAAAAGAGTACGATCCTACACCCGTGTTAAAAAATTGTTCCGTGTCACTCAGTTCATTTAGAAAGTAGGCCACATAATTATTTTAATATATACAGACTTGCACTGAGTGAGAAAAACTTTTTGTAAAAAGATAAATCTTTCTTGCAACAAATTTCCTGTTATTAGCGATAGATGGAATGTTTTTCCCAGTTAACAATTTGATACATAGTCATATGGCAGGGGCTGATAAGACTGAAAGCATGGCAGGATAAGCTTATCACAACCTTTGCTTAGAAAATATGCTTTTCGTGGAGAGTTTTTTTGTAAGGCCGAGAAACGCAAGGAGAGTGCGATGGTCTCGTGATGGATAGGGTTACAAGCGCTTATGTTTACAGTCTGTCAATTGGAAGATAGTTGCTTATCATCTTACAAACACAAGATAGTCTCAGCCCCTTTTCATTTACACATAATATTAAAATGAATGTGTTTATTTAAAAAGAGATAGCGGTTATCAAGAGTTTGTTAGATATAACTGTAATTTGTGGTAAGTTGCCGAAAGTGGGTTAGACATGGGTAAGCAGCACAAGTAGTTTATTGTTAGTTTCATATCATTAAAATAGCATATATTTACAGGCTATAAAGCTAAAAAAATAAATTAGGGATTCACAGTTCAAATGAAAGATGATGTGTAATATTGATATAATTTTTTAAACATACACTTTCCTGTTTAAATTGCACAATGTTTTAGTTTAATAATTAGTAATACTTAGCCTGCTGTAAAATTATTGATGTGATGAAACATTTGGAATGAAAATTTTTATCATGTAATTTTTTATAACCCTAGGAATGGCATGGAAAAGCTTTTGAGTGGTAGAAACTTCCTGGAAAGTGCAGACTTGTTAGACGTGCAAGCTAGGTACAGTATGGGCATTGTTTTAACTTAAGCCATATTTTCATACTTTGATAAGTCACCTAGGCTGCAGTTATTGAAAGTTAACCTCATGTTCTGTTGATCTGCAGTCTAATTGTAGCTACTCAAGATTGTTGATTTAGTGGTTTTATATCAAGACTCATGATGAAATTTTGGTTTATTTAATTTCTTTTTTAAACATTCCTAATTTTGTAGGGCTACTTTTGGAAGAGACATATCAGGGGAAGTAACCAACACGAGAATAAAACTTCCTAAACTAAAATTAATGCCAAGGTGACAGAAGAGCTCTTGTTTACAAGTGTACTAAGAGGAAATGTGAATTAAAACTGACAATAATTTTCTTACACAGCAGTTCTGTAATCATCATGATAGATGTTATACTGCCCAGTGATTCAGGCAATATATCTCCAAGTCCTCTGCATTTTGTCTGCAATCATCAAAAATATCTGAGTGCTTCCTACTTTAATGTACATGATATCAATTGTATATACTCTTAGAAGTTTATATTAAATTTTTGTATAAAAAAATATTTTTTTAATGGATTTTGGTTTAACTCCTTTATAAATTATATTTAATCTTTTAATTTATAAACACCTATTTCCCATATGATGGGATGAGGTAGTCAAATAATAGAGCATTTGGCTACTAGCCTGAAGGTCTCAAGCTTGGACTTAGGACTGTAAGCCATCCTTGGGTACTCCCAGCTCTGATGGGTACCTGACTCTGGTGGGTACCTGACCCAGCTCTGATGGGTACCTGACTCTGGTGGGTACCTAACCCAGCTCTGATGGGTACCTGACTCTGGTGGGTACCTGACCCAGCTCTGATGGGTACCTGACTCTGGTGGGTACCTAACCCAGCTCTGATGGGTACCTGACTCTGGTGGGTACCTGACCCAGCTCTGATGGGTAGCTGTCTGACGTTGGGGAAAGTAAAGGTGCCTGGGCATAGTGCTGACCACACCTTCTTATGCTGAGGTCAAAAAACATGTGAACCCTACTTCAAGTGCCCTATGGATCTGAAAGGTCTATAAAACAAAGGTCACATATTTACCAACTGTAGCCCTAATCCAAGGATACACATTTACTAGGTGTAGCCCTAATCACAGAACACATTTACTAGGTGTAGCCTTCAATACAGGACACATTTACTAGGTGTAGCCTTAACTATAGGACACATTTACTAGGTGTAGCCTTAATCACAGGACACATTTACTAGGTGTAGCCCTAATTACAGGACACATTTACTAGGTGTAGCCTTCAATACAGGACACATTTACTAGGGGTAGCCTTCAATACAGGACACATTTACTAGGTGTAGCCTTAACTATAGGACACATTTACTAGGTGTAGACCTAATCACAGGACACACAATTACCGATTTTTGTTATATAAATACTACTGCCCTTCTCTGTTCAATTAATTAATTGCTAGTTCTACACAGTAATTCTTTAAAATGTTTAAATTTTCTCTCGGTGGTGAAAGGGGCGCAAATTTTTCGGAGGGGGGGGGGAGACAACACTGATTTATGTATTTAAAAAATATAAATTATAAAAGAGATGCCTAAAAGAAACTCGGTCCACGCAGAGTTTCTTTCAGGCATCTCTTCGGGTGGGCGGACCCCCCCCCCCCCCCCACTCGAACGAAATAGTATTTATATAGTAAATATTTACTTTTCAGTTTCACCCCCCCCCCCCCAGAAAAGTTCAAGTGTTTAGCCTCACTCCCCACCCCCATGATTCTAGTGGCATACAACTTTTTCCTGTCAGCGACGCTTCTGGAATCAGCTGTTCGTGAAACCCAAGCCAAGTACGTTCAAGATCGTTTGATTAGACCAGCTGAGCTCGTGCGATCTAAAAATAACCGTTACGTTTTTACAAGCAAATTCCACGTCTGTCAGCTGACTCACCTTTGAGCACGTGATAAACTGAAGCAAGTAGATCAGCAGTCAACGACCTTTGACCTCAGTGGCGTAACTGGAAGTTAACACAAGTTTACTTTAGTTGCCAGATTTAGTTGCCAGATTTAGCTGCGAGAACTGTTTTAATAAACAAATAATGGCTGACAAAGTAAGAAGTAGCTGTCACTAATGCAAAGATAGCACAACAGGATTCCAAGTACCAATTATGACAAAATTAAAAGTAATTGAACATTTCTAATAAAACTGCATCGTAGCAGCCCATGACAGGATCTCCGATTTTTACCCCCCCCCCCCCCCAACTTTACCTTATAATCAATCAATAATGAACCCCAAAGTGAAGTCTCGAGAGGTTCATTAAATATTTTTTTAAAAACAAAAAACATGTAAATAAATATAGTAATAAAAACTTGACTGGTTTTTGTCGGACTTAGCTAAAGGTTCGATAGATTAAACTTTTTATTTTAGTAATTTCGGTATCCAAACATTTTTTTAAAGGCAAAAAGGAAAAAAAAAAACCCACAAAACCAACAATGGGTTGATAGGCTAGAATAAATGATAAGGAAATACCGTACATGCGCATTGAGGTTTTCTATATTAGGCTAGCAGTAACAGACTAGCAGGTGAGATTTTCAAAAACAATACATATTGACCATCAACACGTTTTACGGCCGCTAGGCGATAGACTTGCTCTGGTGGGGGGGCGGGGGGGGGGGGGGGGCGGGAAAGGAAGAATTTATTTTTCCAACCCATTTTGGCGCCCCCTAAGGTCGGCGCCCAGGGACATATGTCCGTCCCCCCCCCCGCCCCCCCCCCCCTCGATACACTACTGATTGGAATAGACTTATTTATTTATCTGAAGCCCTGAGCAGCATAGGGCTGTAGCGGCAACTCTCCAATGGCTCTCTCTATTTGAGCCCCAAGCCTATGTTTTCATCACTCTACTCTAAGATTTTCTATGCCTGTCCACTTTTCTCTTGAGTACATTGGGATGTGGATTGCACCAAACGTTTGTGCATTTTATAATCGTCGATAAACAAGAACACAGCAATTAATTCAATTATGGTTCCCGACAATATGGTCCATACACTATTTTTTGACGGGAACCGCTTTTCTTGTGTGTCCATGATGTGTTATCAACCACTTGGGCTCTGTGTCCTATTGTGTCCTGTTGGGTCCTATTGTGTCCTATTTGTTTTACTTGCGTCAATGTAACATAAAAAGAAGCATAAAACATATTTGAAGCACAATTTTATTTCAAGAAAAGTGATTTAACAATACTTTTTTCCATGTAGTTCAAAGTATATTTTAAAACAAACCAATTCAGAAACCTTTTATATTTGATTAGTTAATTACAACTGCCAATAAAGCAATAAAACTAAGTGTTAAGTTTTCTATGCCCAAAGAGGTTTGATGTTATATCAAAACTAAAAGGAAAAGTGTGAAAACGTTGGGAAAGTTTATTTAAACAGGCACAGCGTTTTTACTTTCTCGTATATACGTAGTATAGAGAAAGTATTGTAATCGTGCAAAAAAATAAACCGGTAGTGATCTCCCCTAAACTTTCTCGAATATTCTTATATAAAACAACAGGGGATGGTAACTGGGGATATAGTTATGATTTTTAATCCATTTTAAATACTAAAACTTTTAAAAATAGAATAGAATCTCATAAAAAAAAACATTGCGCACCAAGCAAACGCCGAATAAAAACGCGTATAATAGTGCGCAATATTATTAGTACTTTAAAAATTTACATTAGTTTTTTGAGAAATCGGAAGTAGCGTAAATTACTACTTCCAGTCAACGGAAATTACTCAAAATTTAACAGAAGGTAGAGAATTAGATCTTTTACTTACATGTGAAATTTCATTTATCTATCTGAAATAGTACTCAAGTTATAGGCTTTTGAAAAATTCAAAGTAGGAAAAGTACCACTTCCGGTTATCGGAAATCGCTCAAAAGTTGATACGGATCTACGATTTTGATAAAATACTTATATATGAAATTTCATCAACCTAGCTGTAACGGTACTCAAGTTATCGTGTTTACACACGGACAGACACACACACGGACAGACACACACACACACAGACATACGGACAAGATTGCAAAATTATGTTTTTCCGTATCAGTGAGGTGTAAAACGTCGAGATTTTTTTTTTTGCACGATTACAATACTTTCTCTATACTACGTATATACGAGAAAGTAAAAAAAATCGAGATTTTTACAAATCTCGACGTTTTACACCTCACTGATACGGAAAAACATAATTTTGCAATCTTGTCCGTATGTCTGTGTGTGTGTGTCTGTCCGTGTGTGTGTCTGTCCGTGTGTAAACACGATAACTTGAGTACCGTTACAGCTAGGTTGATGAAATTTCATATATAAGTATTTTATCAAAATCGTAGATCCGTATCAACTTTTGAGCGATTTCCGATAACCGGAAGTGGTACTTTTCCTACTTTGAATTTTTTAAAAGCCTATAACTTGAGTACTATTTCAGATAGATAAATGAAATTTCACATGTAAGTAAAAGATCTAATTCTCTACCTTCTGTTAAATTTTGAGTAATTTCCGTTGACAGGAAGTAGTAATTTACGCTACTTCCGATTTCTCAAAAAACTAATGTAAATTTTAAAAGTACTAATAATATTGCGCACTATTATGCGCTTTTTTATTTCGCGTTCACTTGGTGTGCAATTAATTTGTCTACGAGATTTTATTCTATTTTTAAAACTTTAAGTATTTAAAATGGATTAAAAATCATGTCTATAGCCCGAGTTCCCATCCCCTGTTATTTTATATAAAAATATTCGAGAAAGTTTAGGGGAGATCACTACCGGTTTATTTAAATACAAAAGATTTAATGAAACCTTTCTAATATCATTTAAAGTATAATTAAACATAAAGCAAATATTCAGAAACCATTACATTTAATAAAATATTTGAAACCGACACTACATATAATGTTTTAAAAATAAAACATTCAAATTTTATTTCACATATATAAGCCTTATTAGTATTTCATCATCATAAACAAACCTTATTAGTGTATACCCATATTGCTAACATTTAAATTCCACGGTAAGTTAAACTACTCACTGGATTCTTTTTGCCCGTTTTCTTTCTTCAAGTAGGCCTATGCAGCCTTGATCACGTGACAAATATATTTTTTAGCATCTCTTTAAGGTTCAGTATGTCGCATTAGAGAAGCATGAATGGAACAAGACGATATAGTCGTGTGCAGGGATGAAAGCCAAGAGTTTTATTGCTACCAGTAGCACCAACACAGAGTACATTGACTTTGACGAAAACCTTTTTATTTTAGTGACAACAGCTCTGAGTAAACTAAATCTTACAATAAATTCACACCCTACGTGAATGGGGCTGGGGGGAGTCAGGCTTATGTGTGACGAGGGGGAGGGGGAGTTTAGAAAGTGTGAAGATACACCTTTGCATGTCAAAAAGTTATTTTGGAAACTCAATTTCAGCTGTTATTTTATCAATTTTAAAAGAGTTTTTTTTTTAAAAACTATAACAATTGACTGATATACCAAAAGCTGAGCTAGGTCAATGGTTTAGAAAGAAATTGATGTTTAAAAAAAAACAATTTTGAAGAGAATTATAGTCTAAGGTAGGAGGTTTTAGGGATAGGGCGCGAGTGTTAGTCAAACTCACTTTGAAAAGCGTGACGTAGTTTATGGATGACTCATTTAGTTTAGAAAGTGATCTTGTAAGTACTTTGAACGCGGAATGCCACTGTCAACAGTACTTTGTGAAGCAGGTAATTGTTACATGAATAAAACATAACAAAAAAAAAGTGGAAGTAATCATTTGAAGCACCTCACATAAACTTGTGCCAACGATCTTGATCAAAATGTTAGTCTGGCACACAACGTTGGTTACTAAACCAAGCATCAACAATGGGAATCCGTCAAAAATTGTTAGTCACAATTTACAAAACTAATGATACACTAACAATCTAAAATAGCTTGTCAGTTACAAAACTAGTGATGTATTGACAATCTAAAAAAGTTTTGTCACTTACAAAACTATAAAGACCCAACGATTTAACAAAATACTGTTCAATGCAGCTTAACATAATTAGCACGAAATAAGATTATTCCCATCAAGTGATATATGAGATGAAGACGTGTTTTTTCAATATTATAATTTAGGTTACAAAACAAGCCCAAAATTATATTTGACGTATTTTCAAACAAACTAAGAGAGAAAAGCTTAGACAAAAAAATCAACCAACCAGATAATCGTAGGGATAATCTTGGCAATGGAATTATCCTAACAGTGGTTAATACGACACTATCCTATCAAGGTACTTATCCGAAGAGGAATACCCTCGGCACTCCCCTAACTATACCAGTATGATAGGAAAAACATACTGCATTAAGTAATGAGTATGGCAAGTTATCTCAGTGAAGAATATTTCATTGAGAAGTCTGCAACATGGCACCGTAGCAAAATAATTGGTCTTCCTAACTAACGGAGGTCTCAGCATGTCAAGGGTTAACGGAGGTCTCTAAATTACAAGGGTTAAAGTAGTTCTCGGTATGTCAAGGGTTAACGGATGTCTCGGCATGTCAAGGGTTAACGAAGGTCTCGGCATGTTGACAAAACTAACTAACGGATAGTCGGCTAAAGGACATTACCCCCCCCCCCCCGTCAATTACCCCCACGGAGCAGTGTTTCTTCCAGACTTTTTTCTCCGGGGGGCCCTTGAAATCTTCGGGGGGGGGGGCGGTAAACTTTCTTCGGGGGGGCGGACACTGTTAAAAGTATATATTTTCTATATAAATTATATAAATTTCATTTCGTTCGGGGGGGGGGGGGGGGGGCGGTAAAAAAATTTCGGGGGGGGGCTTCGCCCCCCCGAAGAGATGCCTGGAAGAAACTCTGCCACGGAGCATTTACCCCCCCCCCCCCTGTCAATCACCCCCCCCCCCCGTGGAATTACCCCCCTGTCAATCACCCCCCTGTGGAATTACCCCCCCCCCGCCCCTCAAGTTAGAATCTTAACTCTTACTCAAACTCTATACCTATATATTATCTTAATACTAACCTTAAGAAAAAAGACCAAACCTAAGCATTCATCTCAGCCTAAAACTTAACACAAAACCAAAACCAACTCTAGACATTGGTTTAAGTCTAACCTTGACCATAACACTAAACCTAATCCTAAATCTAGCCCTAACCCTAACCCTAGCCCAAACCCTAACCCTAACTTAGCCCTAGCCCTAACTCTAATTATCCCTAGCTATGTCCGGGGGGGGGGGTAATTGACAGTAGGTAATTGACTGGGGGGGGGGGGGGTAATTACTCCGGGAGGGGGAGGGGGGTAATTGAGGGGGGGGGGGTAATGCCCAGTTCCCCGGATCGTCATCCCAATCTTTACATTAACCAGAGTATTACATTTTAAGGCCATCATAAAATTACTTGCAAAACACTACAGTTGGATATCAATTGAATATTTATTCAATACACTCGCATCTACCAGCTAATAAACACAAACTCTAAGTCGGGCTATGTTCAAACATTTACAGGAACTCAAGTTTTTACTATTTGTACAGTTAAAATCAAATATGATATGAAAAAAAAATATGATGAAAGTGTATACAAAAGCTTTAACACAAATCACAAATACATTATTCATGTTTTGTAAAAATTTCTATTATCACAAATTTGGTCTATTTTAAATCTTCGTTGCGTCGTAAGACAAGTTGTTTGAGTCTTGAAGACAAGCAGTAGGTCCTAATCAGTCTTAAAGACAGGCAGTATTAAATCTTAAAGACAATCAGTACATCTTGTTATAGACAAGCAGATTCAATCTTATAGAGAAGCAGATTCGGGCTAAAAGAAAGAGGACAAAATTGGGCTGAGCCGTCCAACCTCAGGTTTAATACAAGCACCACGTATATCACAGAAGATAACAACACATAATACATAGCAATTTATTACAGTAGTTCGCCCGACTATGATATAGTATAAAACATGGAATTTATTTGAAATTTTTGACAAATTATCTAAGTAATTCATTACTAGTCTAGTAAGCTTAGTCATAATGTTATTTAAGTAAGCGTACTTAAATCACCAGCGAATTTACAATTTAACAATTTGTCAACTCTGATTTTGCACAATAATAAGTTCGCGTTTTTCAGATTATAAAAACAACAAATAAAGTAGTTGAACCATAAGGCTACGTACAACAGCTATAGCTAGTGGATACACTGACCTCTGTCTAATGGTCAGTGGACACACTGACCTCTGTCTAACGGTCAGTGGACACACTGACATCTGTCTAATGGTCAGTGGACACACTGACCTCTGTCTAATGGTCAGTGGATACACTGACCTCTGTCTAGTGGTCAGTGGATACACTGACCTCTGTCTAGTGGTCAGTCGATACACTGACCTCTGTCTAGTGGTCAGTCGATACACTGACCTCTGTCTAATGGTCGCGAGATGGCCTCAACTACCGAACAAGATGGTTTCTGTGTGGTCCAACTTTTTGTCTTTTACTTCAAATTTTGATGTCAAATGTGTTTTTGTAAATTAAGTGTTTACATTATAAGAGTTATTATACGTACATTTTCTAACAAAAATGAAGAGAACACACTAAGTACAGTAATTTCCAGAACAGAAAAATATAACAATGTTGTAAAACCCATTGAGACTCTACAGCATTGGATCACTTGTGAATGCTTTAAGACTGCTTCACAACAGTAGTTTCTACCTTACGTGTAAATTGAATAAATTAGAGTTTCCAAACATAATCGGCTTTGTTCTACCGTAAATTGAACTAAGTTTAACATAGTTTTCACATTGTTTAATTAACAGTGCTATCTTATTAAGTTTAGCATATATCCCACGAAGTTTAGTTAAGCCCAGGGGCGTAGCGAGGGGGGGGGGGCGGGAGGTGCGGACCGCACCGGGTGACACCATTTAGGGGGGTGACACCAAGGCAAAAAATAGCAAAATATATAGAGAAAAACTCGAGGGGGGGGGGGTGCAAATCGAAAGTTTGAGGGGGGGGGGGTGCAAATCGAAAATTTGAAAGTTTGTCCCTGGGAAGGGTCTCTATGCCTCTGGGGGGGGGGGGGGGGTGACACCATTAAGTGCCGCACCGGGTGACACCCGACCTCGCTACGCCACTGGTTAAGCCCCCTAGTCTAATTATTTCCAACATATATATTGTATTTCTGACATCCTTTTTTAAATATATATAATTACCTCATTTATTAAATCGGAATGTAACTTCTCTTTTTGAACAGGTGTTGAAATTTGAACTCCTATTTTCAACGAACAGCATTGAGCAGTGTACAAAAAGCAGCTAGATGACAAGGAAAAATATGATAAATACAACACCATACAAGAAAATAATTTAAAAACAAAACTCTCCTTAAGCATATTATTCCATTGCCATTTTGAGTCATTGATTTTGAAACATTCAACAATAAACAACGTAAATCAATTCATTAAATGCAGTGACCAGTGGTCACTACTGTCTAAAGAGCCAGAAACATTTTGAAAGCAGTGTTGCCCAAGTTACGCTCATCACAAAACTACACGAAACACTTAGGAAAATTAGATTTTTTGTTAGGATCGAATAGCATCCGCCGATTTCAATGAGATGCCCCCCCCCCCCCCCTCAATCATTATTCTTGAAATGGATAGAAAAAAAAACTGTCAAAATTTTTAACCAAAAAAGTTTTAGAAATTTCATATTTTAAGAATCAATGTCATAAAAATTTTCCGGTGATTATTTTCAATAAACTTATATTTTTAAAAGCAACACAATAGGCCATTTTTGTTTACATTTTCCGTGGGGAAATTTAAAAAATAAACAAACATTTTTTTTGTTGCGTTTTTCAAATTATTTTGGAAAGTACTAATACCAGTACGTCAAATCTTAAGAAAAGTCATACAAAAACCACTTAATCGATTTAAAATATATTTTATGGGCATCTACAGATTATTTTCGAAGGATGCCATTCCTTTGTTCCACAAAGGTAGGCCTAAATAAGAGAAAAATAAACGGAACAAATTTAGGAAAAAAACTAACGGAACACAATTTAGGATAAAACTAAACGGAAAAAAAAGAAAAACAAGGAAACAAAGCACCGAGATACAGTAATTATTCTATGAGATAGGACTAGCTACTCATTGATATATTGCTCATAAACATAATTTTTTTCTACAAATTGACGACGTAAAAATATATATAATAGCATACAGCGCACGACTGTTCTATGACCTATATGTCATAATTATGTACTTGACTCGGCGTCCAAACGTACTGGCGACATAACAACAGGCTAGTGCAAGGCCGACTAGGTGGACGGACTGTTACATAGAACGATGAAAACACGTCCATACATCGCATCGAAGGCCGACTAGGTGGACGGACTGTTACACAGAACGATGAAAACACGTCCATACATCGCATCGAAGGCCGACTAGGTGGACGGACTGTTACATTGAACGATGAAAACACGTCCATACATCGCATCGAAGGCCAACTAGGTGGACGGACTGTTACACAGAACGATGAAAACACGTCCATACATCGCATCGAAGGCCGACTAGGTGGACGGACTGTTACACAGAACGATGAAAACACGTCCATACATCGCATGGAAGGCGCTGTTGAACATTGTCCTGTCGTTTAACACAGTTGATTTTTTGAAGTAAACAAATATATCACAATTAAATTAGCAAGAAGAAAAGTGCATTTAAATACAATTAAATACAAAATTATATTGTTTAAGCTAATTAGTTGCAAGTAATGTCAATATGGGCACGCTTAAAGCATGTCAACAAACATATATAAAGCGGGGAAATCCGGTAAGGAAATTACTTTAAAATATGGTCAAAATGGATGGTACAGTTTTGAGCAATATCACATAAATGCATGTGCATTGTTTTTAAGTTTCATTCACCCACACACGTCTCTGTCTTAGCGGCGTACATTTACAAAGTTAATTTCTTAAATAGTTAATGCTTGTCCACAAATATTTGTAAACGTTTGAATCACAAAGTTCAGTCATCACCACACCTTGTCTCTTTTCAAACATAGCATAAAAACCGCTTAGGCAAACGCGATGAAAGGCCTGTGTCATAATTATTTATATAATTTATCGCCACAGTAATGTAGCCTATTAGATATTTTCTGCAAACACTCCCCACACGCTAACTTATACTAAGAATCACTCACAATCAAACTTCTTTTCACATCAACAAATATTCAACTTTCGTACAATCACATTCCATTTTAGGCACATCCGCATTTTTCAACTTTCATATTCTGCAAAATTTGGTATACTATGGTCATATTGTTGTTGAAGTATAAGAGGGGCAGGGCCGACATCTTGGTGGGGGCACAGCAGGGTCCCCCTGTCTGTCGCCCGACCTGCTGGTTGATCCAGCTGTTGGGCGTGCTGTCCTGCATGGTCATACGACACTCGCCGGAGCAGTAGTCCGCCTTGACGTGAGTCGGCGCTATAATCCACTCCCAGCCGAACTCGGCGAAGCTCACGTAGAGCGGGTACCTACAGCAGCGGGTCTCAGATGTGTGTTCCCCACAGATTAGGGTGTCGCTCCTCTTCTGTCTCCGCTTGCCTTTAGACTTGTGGATCTTGATTTCCAGCCAGGGTTTCTAAAACATTGGAAAAGCAAATCATTATATATATATATATATATATATATATATATATATATATATATATATATATATATATATATATATATATTAACATACATACACATATAAGTAGATAGAAGAGTGCATAAAACGTCTAGTAGTTTGTGTCAGCATATAGCCAAGATCAAAATTTGAGCTTGTAGCTTTATTTCTTTTAAGAATGTTAAAGTTATCCAAAACATTTGACGTAGAGAGCATTGTAATTGTATCGGACAAGTTGAAATGAGTCGGAGATGGACAGACAAAGCCGCCGTTTTATTATAAAATACACCATGATAGAGCAGTGGTTAAACTACGGCAGACACATCACATACAGATTATGTTATGATAGAGCAGTGGTAAAACTACGGCAGACACATCACATAGAGAGTATGTTGAACCCTGCATCAACACACAGGCCCAGATATTGTACTAAAATATATGTGACTGATTTGAAAATGTGTAATAGTTCAGCTATATATTTATTAAATACTTATTAGCATTCCAGAAAAAAAATGTCAGCCTTCGTGCTTTGTAATCTCGGTATGTCATGTATTTAAAACACAGTATGTCATGTATTTTAAACACGGTATGTCATGTATTTTAAACACGGTATGTTATGTATTTTAAACACGGTATGTCATGTATTTTTAACACCGTATATCATGTATTTAAAGTTGTTGACCGACTAATCTTAAAAGTAGAACAAACCCGTCTTTTGTCTCCATTTATCTTCGCTCGTGCCCCTATCTGTAATTTAATGACACTGAGCTAAGCTAATTGATTCGTAGACCCATCCTGACGACTTGACTATGCACGTGACAAACTTATCCCCCATCCTGCAGTATGCAGTGTTTCTTCCAGACTTTTTTTTCTCCGGGGGGGGGGGGGGGGGGGCACTTAAAATTTTCGGGGGGGGGGGGCGGTAGACTTTCTTCGGGGGGGGGGGGGGCTTCGCTCCCCCGAAGAGATGCCTGGAAGAACTCTGCCAGTATGTAAGGTAACATGTGTAATATATGTGATATTCCCGCGAGAACCGCTTTCATCCAGCTTAAATATCACAAGAGCCTCCACAGAGTTACATGTGAGAACACACAAGAATGTTCTACTGCATGTACCATAGGTCTGGAAGAAGAGCGACAACACAAAACTCAAAGTCTAGACAAGAGAGATGTTCTAGAACTTCTCGTCTACCACAGATCTGCCAATTTCCGGCATCGCTATGGAGCAGACTCTGCTTCACCTGACTTGCGCTGAGCTTGTAGCCCTAAAGGTAGCTGGAAATGACCGCCCCATGACCCACCCCATGACCCACCCCATAAACCATGACCCACGAGAGCCCTAACTTAACACCCAGAGGCTACTCTTGGAATTGACTGGAAATCTCCAGGGCTGAGGAATTGTGGCTAGCGTCAATCACAAGCCGATGACAAGCAGTGTAAGTGTAGCCGGTGGATGTAATAGGATCAAGTCGACTAAATGACTAACTTACGCTGTAATCTGACCCATAGGGCTAAGAAAGGCTAGGGAAAATGCAAGCTGTCAATTTTTTTAGTCCGAACAAATGTTGAGGAAATGGTTTTAGCGGGAGCATAAGCTTACTTGGTCTCCTTACCTACATTTTGTGTGTGTGTGTGTGTGCGCGCGTGCGTGTGTGTGTGTGTGTGCGTGTGTGTGTGTGCGTGTGTGTGTGCGTGTGTGTGTATGTGTGTGTGCGTGCGTGTGTGCGAGTATAATCCAACAACTGCTTAAGTTGTATAAATATCCCTGCTATTTCCCTACCTGTTTTGTATCTGTCGCCTTGTGAACCAGCAAGTTGTTGCCGTGGCCATCGTCAGCTCTGAGCTGCAGCCCGCCGTACGTGTTCCTGTTTTTTAGCTCCTTCTTCAGAACGGAAGTGAACTTAAACTTGCGCCACCCCCCGACCTTGTCTGACCATACGTCCTCGCTGTGGATGATCTCCGTGACAAGTTTTCGGTATTTATACGACTCCTCCACCAGAATGTACAAGACCTGTATGTTGATTTGAAATTTCTTCTCCCCCACCCGTGGTTTTTTAAGATACACCCACAAGTCAGCGCTCGCGACCATCTCAGGTTCAATGTTGGGAGGGTGGATGTAGGCGTAGTGGGATATGTTGAAATCAAGCTGTATCTGGGTTACATCTGAAATACAAAAATAGATATTTCTATTTTATACGTTGAAATCAAGATGAATTTAGAATATATCTAAAATACAAAACATAGGTATTTGTATAATATATGTTAAAATCAAGCTGAATTCTAGGTTTTATCTGTAATAGAAAAATAGATGTAATGTAATGACAAAACAAAATAGATGTAATGTAATGACAAGACAAAATAGATGTAATGTAATGACAAAATAAAAATAGATGTAATGTAATGACAGACAAAAATAGATGTAATGTAATGACAAAACAAAATAGATGTAATGTAATGACAAGACAAAATAGATGTAATGTAATGACAAAATAAAAATAGATGTAATGTAATGACAGACAAAAATAGATGTAATGTAATGACAAAACAAAATAGATGTAATGTAATGACAAGACAAAATAGATGTAATGTAATAACAAAATAAAAATAGATGTAATGTAATGACAGACAAAAATAGATGTAATGTAATGACAAAACAAAATAGATGTAATGTAATGACAAGACAAAATAGATGTAATGTAATGACAAAATAAAAATAGATGTAATGTAATGACAGACAAAAATAGATGTAATGTAATAACAAAATAAAAATAGATGTAATGTAATGACAAAACAAAAATAGATGTAATGAATTGACAAAACAAAAATAGATGTAATGTAATGACAAAACAAAAATAGATGTAATGTAATGACAAAACAAAAATAGATGTAATGTAATGACAAAACAAAAATAGATGTAATGTAATGACAAAACAAAAACAGATGTAATGTAATGACTGACAAAAATAGATGTAATGTAATGACAAAACAAAAATAGATGTAATGTAATGACAGACAAAAATAGATGTAATGTAATGACAAAACAAAAATAGATGTAATGTAATCACAAAACAAAAATAGATGTAATGTAATGACAAAACAAAAATAGATGTAATGTAATGACAAAACAAAAACAGATGTAATGTAATGACAGACAAAAATAGATGTAATGTAATGACAGACAAAAATAGATGTAATGTAATGAAAAAACAAAATAGATGTAATGTAATGACAAGACAAAATAGATGTAATGTAATAACAAAACAAAAATAGATGTAATGTAATGAAAAAACAAAAATAGATGTAATGTAATGACAAAACAAAAATAGATGTAATGTAATGACAGACAAAAATAGATGTAATGTAATGACAAAACAAAAATAGATGTAATGTAATGACAAAACAAAAATAGATGTAATGTAATGACAAAACAAAAATAGATGTAATGTAATGACAAAACAAAAACAGATGTAATGTAATGACAGACAAAAATAGATGTAATGTAATGAAAAAACAAAAATAGATGTAATGTAATGACAAAACAAAAATAGATGTAATGTAATGACAGACAAAAATAGATGTAATGTAATGAAAAAACAAAAATAGATGTAATGTAATGACAAAACAAAAATAGATGTAATGTAATGACAGACAAAAATAGATGTAATGTAATGAAAAAAACAAAAATAGATGTAATGTAATGAAAAAGACAAAAATAGATGTAATGTAATGACAAAACAAAAATAGATGTAATGTAATGACAGACAAAAATAGATGTAATGTAATGAAAAAAACAAAAATAGATGTAATGTAATGACAGACAAAAATAGATGTAATGTAATGACAAAACAAAATAGATGTAATGTAATGACAAGACAAAATAGATGTAATGTAATAACAAAACAAAAATAGATGTAATGTAATGAAAAAACAAAAATAGATGTAATGTAATGTAATGACAAAACAAAAATAGATGTAATGTAATGACAGACAAAAATAGATGTAATGTAATGACAAAACAAAAATAGATGTAATGTAATGACAAAACAAAAATAGATGTAATGTAATGACAAAACATAAATAGATGTAATGTAATGACAAAACAAAAATAGATGTAATGTAATGACAAAACAAAAATAGATGTAATGTAATGACAAAACAAAAATAGATGTAATGTAATGACAAAACAAAAACAGATGTAATGTAATGACTGACAAAAATAGATGTAATGTAATGAAAAAACAAAAATAGATGTAATGTAATGACAAAACAAAAATAGATGTAAAGTAATGACAGACAAAAATAGATGTAATGTAATGAAAAAACAAAAATAGATGTAATGTAATGACAAAACAAAAATAGATGTAATGTAATCACAAAACAAAAATAGATGTAATGTAATGACAAAACAAAAATAGATGTAATGTAATGACAAAACAAAAATAGATGTAATGTAATGACAAAACAAAAATAGATGTAATGTAATGACAAAACAAAACAGATGTAATGTAATGACAGACAAAAATAGATGTAATGTAATGAAAAAACAAAAATAGATGTAATGTAATGACAAAACAAAAATAGATGTAATGTAATGACAGACAAAAATAGATGTAATGTAATGAAAAAAACAAAAATAGATGTAATGTAATGACAAAACAAAAATAGATGTAATGTAATGACAGACAAAAATAGATGTAATGTAATGAAAAAAACAAAAATAGATGTAATGTAATGAAAAAGACAAAAATAGATGTAATGTAATGACAAAATAAAAATAGATGTAATGTAATGACAAACAAAAACAGATGTAATGTAATGACAAAACAAAAATAGATGTAATGTAATGACAAAACAAAAATAGATGTAATGTAATGACAAGACAAAATAGAAGTAATGTAATGACAGACAAAAATAGATCTAATGTAATGACAAAACAAAAATAGATGTAATGTAATGACAAAACAAAAATAGATGTAGATCTAATGTAATGACAAAACAAAAATAGATGTAATGTAATGACAAAACAAAAATAGATGTAGATCTAATGTAATGACAAAACAAAAATAGATGTAATGTAATGTAATGACAAAACAAAAATAGATGTAGATCTAATGTAATGACAAAACAAAAATAGATGTAATGTAATGACAAAACAAAAATAGATGTAGATCTAATGTAATGACAAAACAAAAATAGATGTAATGTAATGACAAAACAAAAATAGGTGTAGATCTAATGTAATGACAAAACAAAAATAGATGTAGATGTAATGTAATGACAAAACAAAAATAGATGTAGATGTAATGTAATGACAAAACAAAAATAGATGTAGATCTAATGTAATGACAAAACAAAAATAGATGTAGATCTAATGTAATGACAAAACAAAAATAGATGTAATGTAATGACAAGACAAAAATAGATGTAATGTAATGACAAAACAAAAATAGATGTAATGTAATGACAAAACAAAAATAGATTTAATGTAATGACAAACAATTTAATCTAAAGTGATAATCAAATAATGTACATGTGCATTTCTGAAGTGATAATTACAAATGCACAATTTGGCAATTAAATGTTCGTTTTTACTTTCTCGTATACAGAGTGTAGATGAAGTTTTGTAATCGTGCACAAAAATCACATGAAATTTTGTCTATTTTCACCGTTTTACACCCCAGTACTTCGTCACATATTGAGTATAGGAGACTTATTTTAATCGGGCAAAAATTATAAATCCAAATTTATCAAAATTTCGGCGTTTTATGCGTAATCGAGTCGAAAAAACTGGGTTTTGCAATTCTGTCCGCATGTTTGTGTGTATGTATATGTGTGTGTATGTCTGTAAACACGATAACTTGAGTACCGTTACAGCTAGGTAGATGAAATTCATATTTAAATATTATATCAAATTTGTAGTTCTGTATTTACTTTTCAGCGATTTCCGATAACCGGAAGTGGGACTTACAGCCTATAGCTTAGGTACTGTTTCAGATAGATAAACGAACTTTCATTTTTAAGTAAAATATCTAATTTTCTGCCTTCTGTCAAATTTTGAGTAATTTCCATTGACCGGAAGTAGTAATTTACGCTATTTCTGATTTATCAAAAAAACGAAAATGAATTTATAAAGTACTAATAATATTCGCACTATTCTACACATATTGTTTGCCATTCACTTGGTGCGCAATTCATTTTTTTTTCTACGAGATCCTATTCTATTTTTAAAAAGTTTAAGTATTTAAAATGGATTAAAAATAATGTCTATTTACCGCGTTGCCATCCACCGTAGTGTTATATAAGAATATTCGAGAAAGTTTAGGGGAGATCACTCCCGGTTTATTATAGTAATAATAGTTGCACAAGGTAGTTTTTGGTCCCACTCAAAATGCAAGTGTTCAACAACTTTTTACCCACTCGGTAGTAGATTAAACAACGTTTTAAATGCGCTGTTTGTTTATAAGAATAAATCCTACTCTACGCATGTTTTAAACTCTGGATACTGCAGGACATTAGAGAGGAGAAAATCAGGAAACTGCCGGGTAAACTCATTGTAACATTTCTCATTCATCTATTATATTCTCTTTTTCATCTCATTATGTATGATAACTATGTAACATTGTTTCTTTATTCCACATTTTTAGTGCTATGTTACTGCTATGTGTTATTGAATTGTTTTATTTGTATAAACGGCCAATGTGAAAAAAGGCCTTTGTGCCTACAATTGTAGCCGTTGTTTGAATAAATTTGAATTTGAATTTGAATAAATTTGAAACTTTATGGGAACACTAGACTAGGAATCAGGAAATAAAAACAGGCGGAAATATTAGTCAACTGCCCATATTGCACTTAACACGTTGACACGTAATACGTAATTGTGTTGGAGGAGATCCCATACCAACATTACTATTAAGGACGAAGAAGAAAAGAGACTCCACAGTCCAGTTGAGGTGATTATCACACTTAAAACGTGTTTTTCTTTTGTATTGATATCAAAGTCACTTGGAGTTTTTCATTAAAGTTAATTAACTCATGTTAATATTAATTTTAAATTCACCTACTATGCTTACAGTTGTACAGAGCTTTATATCAAGTGGTTATTGTAACAGTTCTACAAAGCTTTATATGAAACCAATGCTACAGTTGTAGAAGATTTAAAATGT